CTTCTGACCCACACTTGGGTGTCTTTGTTGTAGGAGCACACACAAACCCTGGGTGTTGCTAACGGAAGTGGCACGTGGCATATTGTTGTTATATGAGCTGAATCTGCTTAAAGGTGACCCGAGCTCACGCCTAGATACTCAGAAAGCTGAGATCTGAGGTTTGCAGTTTGAAGCCTCCTGGCCAGGAAAATCCCTGAAACTCTTATCTCCCCTGAACTACCAAAAAAGCCAGAAGTGAAGCTGTGGCTCAAGTGGTGAAGTGTTAGCCTTGAGCAAAAAAGCTCAGAGAGAGCGCCCAAACCATGAGTTCAAGCCCCAGGACTGTCAACAGTAACAAAAACGAAAACAGCACGTGTCAGAAGAGAACTTGGGAAGTTCTGCTGGTTTTTGCTATCTTGCCCAGAGTGGCACAGCGTCACCTATGAATGCCTCTGAGAACCTTCTTCCTCCCCTTGTCAGTCTGTTTGGAGCACTGTGGGCTGGAAAAGCAGATCCTGATCCCAAGAAATGATGGTTCAAGCACCATCATAGTTGGCTTTGATCTAGGGGTTGGCAGAAAGAGGCTGCAAAGGCTACCTCACCTTGACAGGACCCAGACTTGTTTGCCCTTGAGTTCTCTCCCCTCCCCCACCCCGCAATGTGCAAGTGTGCATTTGGGAATTTTCAAAGTTCTCTTCCTCCCCCCCCCATGGGGACTGGAATCATCTAGGGATGTTCTGGGGTCACCAGTGTTCACCCCGGCTCCATGAATTCAGCCTCTGCCCAAATGAAGACCCATGCCTGTCTGGAAATGAGAATGTAAAATTAAGTCAGCCATCACTCCAGGCACGCTCTGTCTATCTGTCTGTCTGTCTGTCTCTCTCTCTCTCCATAGCCTCTCCCCAGGTTTACCAAAAAAAAAAAAAAAGAATTTCCAAGCTACACAGTATTTCATAGACCAAAATAGATTTTTATTTCCAAACATAATTCAGATATGTCTTCATCAAATTATTTCTTAGAACACTGATACTTGCAACTTGAACAGGAGGAGAAAGAAGCCCCAGTGACTTGAATGTACATTCACTGAGAAGCCACGAGGGGCCCAGTGCCCTTCCCCATGGCCGGGAGATGGGAGGCTCTCAGTTTCTTTTGCACTTGATATGAACTGAGATAACACACATGTGTTCCAAGACATTCATTTGGCTCCAATACTGCTTGCTTTCCCAGAAAGCTTAATTTATTGCAAATGCATGTTTTTAAAAAATTACAAATATGACAAGAGGGTATGGGGGGGTCCCCTCGGTGCTGTTTACATAATTGAACATTTTCAACAATGGAATTCATTTATTTTGGACACCAAAACCCACTACTCAGCATTTATACACATGTGCACACATGGGCATATGTATGCACACACGTGCATACAAATACACACACACACACACACACACACACACACACCCCACATCACCACCTGCTCCATCCTGAATAAACCACACTGCACCAGTTCTACAAATTGGTCCATATCAGGTTAGTGTGGCCAGGTCTTAAGAAAACAGGGCAAACCTGCCCATGTAGACTGGTTCGGAGCAGTAATGTGGCAACTGGGCTAGTGCCTCTCGGGGGGAGGGCGGGGGAGAGGGGTGCTTCTGAGAGGCCCAGACTCCCAGGCCTGGCAGCTTTTGTCAAGAGAGAAGGCTGATGACAGTAATCAGTCCAGAAGGGGAGATTGGGAATGGGTGCTGTGGAAGGAGAGGGCTGGCCTTGGCCTTGTCATGGAGAGGAAAGCATCCATTCTGGAAGCTTCTACTGCTTGAGGTGGGGGCACAGAGCTGAGTTCTTATGCTAGTTACATTTGCACAGCTAGGACCAAAAGATCTGAGGAAGGCACAGGGGAGAGATTGATTGGGGCTCTCACTTCCGGAGCATCAGTCCCTCACAGTGGGAGGACGTGGCGGAGTGGCTTACCTTATGGTGGCCAGGAAGCAGAGAAAAAAATAAAGGGCCAGGGCCAGATACGGCCCCAGTGATGTTCCCCGCCACCGTGGCCTACCTCCTCCAGTTGGAACCACCTGCTCTCTGTATCTCCCAAGTATGAATCTATTGACTCTTAAAACTCATCATTAGGTCCCCAGGTTCTAAGCATCCTGGCAAGGGCCTCACCACCCCTCTCCCCCAAGAGGTGTGGGGTTCTAATCTCCAAGGTGTCGCTTGATCCAGGCAAACAGACACCACGCTCTCCTCCATAACCAGGTCATCACTCTCCTGGGAGAGAAGGAACACCATTTCTAAGGCAGCCGGAAGAGTTTCCATAGGATAAGAGACCTTCCCTGTCACTAGAGAGTGTCAGCCAGGACCAGAAGTTGCTTCTACAAGACCTGTCAAGGACTGGAGCTCCGGGGAATCGTCTGGGCCCAGATCTCCCACAGACCAGGCACAGAGTCTGAGCTGGGACTAGGAGTCCACACTGCCCAGCTGTGCTTCCTGGGGAGAGCGGGGGAGGGGGCTGATAGACCTACATACAACTCACACATATCTTTCTCTGTCCTCCTCTTCCTCCTCCTCCTCCTCCTCCTCCTCCTCCTCTCCCTCCTCCTCCTCTTCTTCCTCTTTTTCTCCTCCGCCTCCCCCTTCTCTGGGCCTGCTCAATGGGCAGTGGCCTTGGGAAGTAGGCTGTGCCTTCCCCTGGCCCAGTGAGCCCTGGCCTGTGCCTTCTCCAGGTGCAGACAAACATCAGCCCTACCTCTATCCCTTGACACTTCCAGCTCCTGATGGTGGCAGTGTGAACTAGAGAGTTCCCTAGCAGGCATGGGCCTAGGAAGAAGCCGGGAGCCATGATCAGGAAAGGCCTTTTCCCCAACAGGCTAATCAGGGGCCTACAGGGGAAAAACTATCATGACTGGAGTGAAAAGTTCCCTACCATGAGAAAGAACGAACATTGGGCCGGGAGCCCATCATGCCTGGGTTCGGCTCCCAAGCTGACCGCTTGCTTAGCGGCCGCTTGCTTGTAGGCAGGCGGCTGCAGGTGTCAGCATCTGAACACAAGGCCGGGACTCCCAGCACAGGTGAGGTGGCAGGCATACTGCAAGTCCTCAGTACAGGCTCTTACCTCTGTTATCATCAGAGTGGGGAGAGGAGCTGAAGGCCTTTGTTCCTCACTTCACGGAGTTGCAGGAGGAGACTGGCCTGGTGTCCTTGTTGCTGAGCACGCCAGAAAGACAGCCAAGGATCCTTTGAGGAAACTGAGGCTCCTTTCTGCAACTTATCTTCTGTCTGTGTGAATGGTTGGGTACCACTGTGTAAACAGCTTTGATGTTGCCATGACAACCAAAAAGGCAGGAAGGTGCTGTGTGTGTGTGTGTGTGTGTGTGTGTGTGTGTGTGTGTGTGTGTGTGCACATGCTGAGTCTGGCTGAAAAATGTGCTTTTATACCAGAAGCTTTTGTTTTTAAATGTCTTTTTGAAAATAAATTCCAATGTGTATCTTATTTGGAAGACAGAAGATATTCCTCTTGTGAGCTGGAGTTGGGAGAAATGCAGGCTGGTCTTAACCCTTTAGTTGTAGCCCTCTGTGGGAAGAGCTTGTGGGCTCTGTCTAGGGGGTGATAGAGGTTTCCTGCTTATCTCACCCAAGTACCAGACTAAGAAAAGGTGATTTCAATTGTTAATGTCCTAATTTTGACATAAAGTGAAAGAAAGAGAAAGACAGAAAAGGAGGAAGGGAAAAAAGGAGGGAACAGGAAGAGAAAGAAAGGGGAGGGAAGGAAATAAAGAAAGGAAAGAAAAAAGAAAGGAAAAGGAAAAAAAGAGTCCAGAATTAAGAGTCTTCCTTGGGGACAAGTGTTGGAGAGCGGGAGAAGAAAGTCTCAGTGCTCAACTGCTCGTGTCTGCCATGGCTGCAGTAGTCAAAGTAGTGGCCTACTTTTCTCCTCCTATGCTGGTCTGGACTGGGGAAGATCAGATTGGGGTGAGGGAACAGGGGACTCCCTGCTGGACCTTTATCCATCTCCTCTCTCTACCTGGTAACCATGGGAACCTCCCAGACGTAGGGTACCACCCTCCTGCCTGCCCTGCCCCGCCCCACCATCTCTCCTGCCTCATCTCTGGGAGGGCACACAGCAAAGTCAAAGGCGATGGCCTATGTCTGGTTCAGTATCTAGTGAGGGACTGGGAGCTCCCTGAAGGCAGGACCTCAATCTTAGTTACCCATAATCTTCCAGCACAAAGCCTAGAATAGAGACCCAGAGCATTGCTGCTCAAGAGAGGGGGAAAGAGGCAGAGGCATACAAATGGCTAGTGGATGGATATATACATGTATAGGTGTATAGATGTATATGGGTATAGATGTATATGTATATATATTTTTCCCTTCTCTAAAGACCACCACTGGTGACCTCTGCCTCTCCCTAGCCCAGAGCCATGAGCCACATTCCCAGGGTACCAATTGTGCCCTCCCTTCTCATGGACTTTCCTGCCCAGGCTGGCTTAAAACCATGATTCTCAGACCTCAGCCTCTTGAGTAGCTAGGATTCCAGGCGTGAGCCTCTAGCACCAAGCTGAAAATTGGGTTTGATCCAATATTGTCTCCATGCCTCTGTCTCTCTTTCTGTCTCTCTGTCTCTGTGTCTCTTTCCCTCCACCTTTCTTAAATAGTGCTAGGTACACATAACACAAAACAGCACCATCATGACTTTTCAATGCAGGGTCAGTAGCACTGAGTTTGTTGCCATCTCTGGCCTCTGATGCCTTCTGTCCTATGTCCCTGTCTGCCCTCTCCAGCTGGGCCGTCTGGGGTATGAAGCAGGTCTATAGAGCCTCGCCTTCCCATTAAGCCAGGAGAGGAAGAAGTGCCACCTCCTGTCCCCTCTCACTCCCACACACCCCTGCAACGCAGGCGTCTGCATCTTCATGCCCAAAGGAGCAGCAGAATTCTCCAGACCTAGAGGACTGACCGAGGGCCCAGCTTCCTGCCAGAAGGCTAAGGTGAACAGAGCTCCAGAGACAGAAGTGGAAAACACTGCCCAGCTCCCACTTCCTCCACGCCCAGGAGGGTGTTGGTGTCCCAGAAACATACTCACCTCTGGCTTTTTAATATAACCCTGTAAACCCTGCTGAAGCTCTTGCCCAGGCCGGGCACACTGGAGATTCACAACTGTGCCACTCACGACCACAGACCTCGGCCCCTCCACAGGGTGCCTACAGGGGTCTCCTGACCTCCCTTGCTGCCTGCTCCACCCTCTGCCCATCCTTACCGCATCAGTACATGCTGGGGGCCGTCATGATCTGGAGAAGGGAGGACCAGCAAGGGGGTAACTAATGGTTATCTGGTGGGGTCTCCATTCCCCCATTCTCTTGTTCACTACACACACACACACACATACACACACACCAGGATACTCTAAGCACCCTCTCTCTCTAGAAGGGGGCGACACGCAGGTTTCACGGCATACCCCATCCGAGGGCTTCTGCGGCCTCTCCATGGCTCCTGCTGGAAGTGTTAGCGACACAGCAGCCACCTGCTCCCACTCTCAGCAAAAGCGATTACATTTTAAAAACGCTTGCAAATGGCCTATTGTATCCTATGATAACTATATTGATACAAAGTAACGAAAACACCAGTTTTTTTCTTTAAAAAAAAGCTATGCAAACAAGCACATTTTATGGCATCAGTAACGAAGTTTAAAAATATAGAGACGTTCCTACCCACCAGCCCAACTATTGCGATTCTCCCAATGCGACCCCACGACTCAGGTGACACCAGGTGACATATAAACAGCTCTCCCCTCCCCCCTCCAGCACACACTTCCTTCTTCTTTCTCAGCACTGAGGGTGGAACCCAGGGCCTCACACAAATGCTCTGTCTAAGCCTGGCCTTTGCTCTGGGGAAGGGGCTGAGCAGGTCACAGGTTCGGATCTGGCCAAACAGCCTCTTGCTGTGTGCCTATGGGTGAGTCACACCCCTTCTCTGGGCCTCATATTTCTGACCGGTGACGCGGGATAATAGAAAAGGAACACCCAGGCCCAGCGCTTAGCCTAAGGTCTCAGCCCTGGATCCTTCAGGAAAACAGCCACGTAAGGTTGGGTTCCCAGCACCCAGAGAGAAGTGCTTTTCCTGTCAGTGCCAGGAGCTCCCTGGCATGGCTCTTCTGAGCCATGATGCCAGCTCTTCCTCCTCACTGGGCCAAACATGAGAGCTGCCCCTTGGCCTCACCTGGCTCTAGGATTGGTGTGCGTTTGAGAGCCATAGCCTCGCTGAGCAGGACCCTCTGAGGGCCCCAGGTTCCCTCTGTTTAAAGTGCCTCTGGGTCTCTAACACTACATTTCCAGATCTGATACAAGGCCTGAGGACCCAGTACCCCCAGGGCTCCGACCCAAAGTTCAACAGACAAAAATCCACGGGCAAAGAGTGAGCATTAAGTATTTGCTTAAAAAAAAAAAAAGACTGTCGGTTTACAAAAAACAGGATCGAGTTTTAAAGCTCTTAGGAGCTATCCCAGAATCCTTTGGAGAGGAAGAAACACTTCCCACCAACTTAGAGGCCTGCCTAACCAGGAGTCACCAGCCCTATGGTCCCATGCAGGGTAGGTATGTATGGGCATTCTTGGCCAGTGGGCCTAAGGGCTGTACAGGAAGGCGGCCTTCCCTTAGACAGGCTCCACCCCCAGGCCCAGGCCTTCCCCTCTGTCTTGGCATCCATCCCTGGTCCCTGACCCACAGATACCCCTCTCTGCCCTCAGCTCAAGTTCAACATGGATGGAGAAAAAAGCCACCAGCAGGCAAGGGGACACAGATCTCCCAGGGCTCTCCAGGGTCAAGGCTGAGTTGGTTTCACCCTTTTGAGTGGAAATAAGAAATCATTCCTTTTTTGCAGGAACACATAGACCCAAGTCTAACCACCTTCACTAGTGGGGGTGGGGAAGCTGCTTTTCTGCCAAGGGTCATCTGGATATTTATATCATCATCATTTGTGGCCCAGATAAAATTATCCACACAGGCCAGTGGACACAGAAAGCCCAGGCAAGTTCACGAGAAGCACTGGTGTCCGTCCATGATGGACCAAACCATTTCATAGGCCTTCTCCAGCCGGTGGGCTGGGCGGGTCCAGCACTGTGTCGGCCTCTGGTGATGGTCACTTCGGTGTCTGCTCCATGGCATGAAATCTCTTGAGCTTTACAAAACTAGCCTGGCAGGTCTGCACTCACTGTTGGTAAACTGAGTCCCTGGGCTCTGTGGGCTTTGTAGGCTGACAGCTCAGACACCTTTCCCTAATATCTGGCTTTGCGCTAAGGTTTCTGGGTAAGAAGTTGCCAAAGAAGTGGATTATGGTCCCTGGGTTCTGGGCTGACAGCTGACACGGCGCCATGACACCCCCTGGAGAGATACACAGTCGGGAAATTTCTCATCTACAAATAGACATAATACATGAAATGGTAACAGGAGCCTCTGCATACAGAGCCGACGAGATCCTGAACACAGAGCCCGAGTTGCGCACAGAATACATTTAGTATAGACAGAGACGATGAATGCTGTATAAATAGTCTGCCCTGGGAACCTGCCGGAGACATCCACGCAGCCGTGGTGGATCTGTGCTCTCTAGCCGGTCCTGTTTCCAGTTTTCCCACCAGGGAGCCCCAAAAGGAGCCTGGGGTGCGCTGGAGGCTGCAGAAGGTACCTCACCTGGGCACCCCAGTGGGCTAGGTGGGCGGGGGGCCGTCGTAGCGTAACATGAGCGCAAAGGAGCGGGCGAAGTTGTTGGCCAGGGCACAGCTGCGCCGCTCCTTCCCAGCTGGGAGCAGGAAAAGGAGCAGCAGCAAGAGCAGGAGCAAGAGCTGCAACGGGAGCGCCAGGCGGCACGCCTTCTGCAGCAGGGAGCAGGGGCCCCAACGCCGCCGCCGCCATCGCTGGGCCTGTGGGACCAACACAGGACAGGACGTGAGTGGGGTTGGGGGCTGCCACGGGGGAGGAGGGGCGGTCTGCACCTCCGTTTGCCTATCTGTGAAATGAGTTTGCCAGAAGCTAACACCTCTGCAGCCCTCTCCAGCCATGCAAGGTGGGGGAGAGAGAAAATATATGGAAAGGAATGTTCTAGGCGTTCACATACAGTGAGACCAGGAGGATGCTCTTAGGAGAGGCACGCCTGTGTGCATCTGATTATACAAGATAGTATTTATCGAAATGAACTCCGGGAAATGGAAACAAGGGTTTTTCTTCATTGGGGTTTTTCTTTTCTTTTTTGTCTTTGTTTATCTGTCTTTGGGAGGGTAAGGGGGGGACACAGAAATGGGGGGACAAAGGCTAAACAAATTCGGCAGTGGTGCTAACTAGACACTGTTGAAAGTGAACTTGTGGATGGGGATGGGAGGGAAAAACTGGGAGAGAGAAGGGAAGGGGTGACATTGTCCAAAAAGAAATGTACTCCTTACCTGACTTATATACTGTAACCCCTTAGTACATCACCCTTATAATAACAATCAATTTTTTTTAAGAAGGCACATTCTGCTGCTGATTACAGACAGTTCCCAAGTGATTTTTTAGCTTGACAATGGGATGAAAGCAACACCCATGCATAGAAAGCATCTTGCTGATTGTGTGATAGTTTTGATCTTTTCCTAGGCTAGAGACAGGTAGGGTAGGTGTCCCCCGCTCTCTGGAGACGCCGAGGAAGATGAGTGGGCCGGCCCTGAGCTGGTGGGCAGGGCTGGGTGGGTGCATTCCAGGCTTATTCCACTTGCAGGATTTTCCTCCCCTGGTAGCTTGATCAGGACAAAAAGCCCATTCAACATGAAGGAGTGTCTGCGTGCGCATGCTTGCTGGCGGTCTGCAGGGTAGACGCCAGGTTAAAACCCCAGATTCTCATGGGGCGATGCCGATGGCTCCATACAGACTTGTGATGTTGTGAGACAGTGCCTGGCGTGTGGAAGGTCCCCAGGAGCAGGTGTCACCTTCCATGTGCACCCATCCACTGCCACCACCGCCACCGGCCCTTTCTTCCCATCCTGTCTCCTGCTCCCCCTCCCCCTTCCTGCTCCTCCTCCCCTGTGCTTCCTCTTCATTGATGCCACCTTGAAGGTGTCTCACCCCCCTCGGCTGGAATGCCCACAACAGTGCCAAAGGGCCCTGCCTAAGTTCTGTGGGGACCCCCTGGGTTGTGGCTTCCAGGGTGTTGTGACTGCTAAGGAGCACAGGCCAAGAGCTGGTTGCTCAGGAAATGGAGGCCCTCTTGGCCAAGATATGGCATGGTGCGGGGCAGCGGAGCAGCTTTCGGAACTTGGCCAGGTAGGCTCCAAGCTGGATGCTAGCAAGGTGACCTCGCTGTGTTTCTAGAGGTGAAGGGCCTGAGCCCGCGTGCTGGTGTGGTGAGACTCGAAGGAAGGCAAATCAGTAGTTAGGGTCCTAGCCCTCTATTTGTGCTACTAGTTCTATTATTAAAGATAGCCCTAGTCAGGAGCCAGTGGCTCATGCCTATAATCCTAGCTACTCAAGAGGCTGAGATCTGAGGATCCTGATTCAAAACCAGCCAGGGTAGTAAAGCCCATGAGACTCTTATCTCCAATTAGCCATCAGAAAGCTGAAAGTGGTGCTGTGGATCAAGCGGTAGAGTCCTCATCTTGAGCTGAAGAGCTGAGGTATAGCGCCCGGGCCCAGAGTTCAAGCCCCACAACCAACAGAAAAAAAAAAAGATAGCCCTAATACTGTTATTTTAGAAGTGTCTGCTGGCTTCCTGCAGAGCACACACAGCCACCAATGACAAGGCTAGCAAGGATAACGGGGGTGATGGTGATGAACATGAGCGAAGAATGGTAAAGGGTGCTGATGGTGATAGTGGAGTGGCACTGAGGGTCACATTGAGCATGCTGTGGTCATGGTGGTGGTGATTATAGTGGCAATGATGGTAACTGAGGATGGTGGTAGTAGTGATTATGGTGATGGCAATGATAACTGAGATGGTACTACAGTGAGGATGTTGGAGGTGATGGTGACAATGTGGTAGTGATGATGGTGGTGGTAGCAATGGTGACAGCATGGTGATGGTGGTGGTGATATGGTAGTGGTGGTGATGGTAATGATGATGGTGGTGGTGGTAATGATGTTATCATAGTAAAGGTGATGCCAAAGCCACAATACTGGGTAGAAAAGAAGAAGCCAAGATGACAGGCTGGGAAGGTGGCTTAGTGGTAGAGTGCTTGTTTAGCAGGCATGAAGTCCTGGGTTCGATTCCTCAGTACCACATAAACAAAGAAATGCAGAAGTGGCCCTGTGGCTCAAGTGATAGAGTGCTAGCCTTGAGCAAAAGAAGCTCAGGCACAGTGTCCAGGCGCTGAGCTCAAGCCCCAGGATAGGCAAAAACAGATGACAGTTCTTCCTACTACAGTAGAAGTTCTTGATTGTTAAACACCAGGCTTATGAGTGTCCATTACAGCACCTGACACAGTAGGATGTCATAAATGTCATGGCTAGGAAGATCTTGCTATCTAGCCAGAAAGCTCGTGAAATGTGACATTACACTATTTCCTCTAAGCTAAGACATGGACTGTAAGGAGCATCATGATTTTATCAGCCATGAGGGAAGTAACCACCACGGACTGGAGGATTGATTGACACACCCATGGAATGCTGGGGCAGGAGGCATAATCCATCCCATGGGGGCGGGCAGAGACCGTCAACATCTTCCCTCCGCTGAGCAGAAGGGAACAGGGTTCTCTTTCCTGAAAATTTGAGCTCCCTCAAATTTGCAATCTCAAAGGTACACAATCAGTGTGGTCCAAAGATAAAGAAAACCAAACATGGCCTACAAGCAGGTTTGATTTAAAGCAGCTCCGGGTGGGCAGGGTCAGGAAGTGATGACTGCAAACACTCCTTGGGAGAAGAACTAGATCGGAATTGGATAACTAAATGCCCCAGATGAGAAAATGGGAAGATTTATGAATCTTGAAACGATCAAGTGAAAGAAAGGCATCAGTGGCTCACGCCTGTAATCCTAGGAGGTTGAGATCTAGGACTGAGGTTCAAAGCCAGCCAGAGCAAGAAAATTCATGAGACTCTTATCTCTAATTAACTACCAAAAAGCCAGAAGTGGAGCTGTGGCTCAAGCGGTAGAGCACCAGCCTTGGCCAAAAAAGTTCAGGGACAGTGAAGGCCCTGAGTTTAAACCTCAGGCTGGCATGTGCGCGCACGTGCGCGCGTGCACGCGCACACACGCACGCATACACACACACACACACACACACACACACAGAGTGAGCCAAATGCTGCTCTCTGTGGCTGACTACCTGCTGCTTGAATGTCAAGAGCCCACACTGGGCCATGCCCAGAACTGTGTGCCCATCCGCCCTGCAGATGACGCTGGTTCAGCCAATTTATTCCTCAAGCTAAAATAAAATCAACGTGTGTCTCAGGACAGCAACACCACCACATCCTGGACCAGTGCAGGGCTTGAGCTGACACACTGCAGCTCAAGGAGCACGTATGCCTTGTGTGTGTGCGCGTGTGCACGTGTGCGTGCACATGCCAGGGATGAGCATCCAGGAGCACTGTGCTGCAGGCACATGGGCAGTTGCAGATTTAATAAATCTTAATTACTCTGTTTATACAAACAAGCAGGCTGAAGCCATGGATGGAGCCGGAGCCTTCACCGACTTAAGAGCCAGGAGAGTAAAAAAAAAAAAAAAAGTATAGAAAACCAGCCATTCAGAAATAATTAGCTTAGGAGCAAGCTTTTTTCTTTCCCTTGGACTAAAAATATGTGGAATGTTTTTTAAGTTGCCGAGATTACAGCCTTGGCAGACAGCACTTATTTTCGGCCTGTCAGGCCTGTATGTGTATATATGCATGTATGTGGAGCTGTACACACACATACACACACCCTAACTAGCAAAAAAAAAATCCCAAAAAACAAAAACCCTCCAACCCCAACTCAAACAAGTGGAGCCCTGGTGCCATGAGGCCCTGTTTGGAGGTAGTGGAACCTTAAGAGGTGGCGCCTGGGGAGAGGTTCTGAGGCCATTGGCAGCTTGCAGTTAAAGGGGATAGTGGGACCCTCATCTTTTCCTCTTCTTTCTGCTTCCTGGTTGTGAGGTGAGCAGTTTTGTTCTACCACACAACTCCTGACATGACATGCTTCCTTATCACAGGCCCAAAACAAGGAGGCCAACTGGCCAGACTAGAACCGCATCACCATGGGCCAAAATAAACCATTTCTCTTTATAAGCTGATTATCTCAAGTATTTTTACAATAGCAACAGGAATCTAGCATAGCAAGACTAGCAAAAGATAACGCGAGAGCTGGTGGCTCACGACTATAATCCTAGCTACTCAGGAAGCAGAGATCTGAGGATCGTGGTTCAAAGCCAGCCAAATCCAAGACAGTCTTATCTCCAATTAACCAGCAAAAAAGCTGGAAGTGGAACAGTGGCTCAAGTGGTAGAGCACTAGCCTTGAGCAAAAAAGCTGAAAGATAGCACTTAGACCCCTAGTTCAAGCCTCAAGACTGGTGTGCATGTGCGCTCTCTCTCTCTCTCTCTCTCTCTCTCACACACACACACACACACACACACATACACACACACACACATTAATATGAGGATCAAACCAAACTTTTTTTTCATCAAGAGAAGCATGGTGGTGGCTATAATCCCAGGCACTCATGGCTGAAATAGGAGGATTGCAAGTGTGAGGCCAGGTTGAACTACACAGTGAGACCCTGTCAGAAGCAGGGAGAGAAAGGGAAGAGGGGAAAGAAAAGAAAGGGGAGGGGAAGAGATGGGAGGGGAGGGGACAGGACCTACAGAAGTGCCAGGCCTTCGTGTACAACAAATGAGAGCCTACTGCATGTCAATGGTTACAGAAGGAACTTTGCCTGCGATTCTCTTGGTGACTGTCACTCATTCATTGGAAGACAGTGATTAAGTGACTTTCTAAAGGCCACACACACTAGTGGGCGAGGGGGGACTCAAATCCAGATTGTCAAGCATTGGTTCGCAAAGTGTATTCCCCAGCAGCATCAGTGTCACCTGGGAATTTGCTAGAAATGCAGATTCATGGCCCCCTCCAGGCCTACTAGATTAGAGTTCCTAGTTCTGGGGCTGGGGTGTAGCTCAGCAACAGAGCCAAACAAACAACATGAACTCTCTAGAAATAGGCCCAGCAATCTGTCCTGTCCTGCAGCTCCTAATTTTCTTCCTCCTACAGGCTCAAAGCCAGCCAGCACGGAAGCCAAAGTTTCATATATAGCCCAGGAGAGCAGATTTTTGTGGCCCCTTAGATTCTTCTTGCTTATCCATCTCATAAAACTGTGCCCAACACCTGCTGGCCATAGCTGAGGCAAATCTTGGGATCCTGCAGGCCCTGCCCAGCCACTGTCCTTGGGAGCTTTCTGACCCAGAAGCCCACACTGCAGTCCAGGAGCCCGGGCACCTCTTTCCACCCAGCCAGGAACATGACCTTGTAGGATCAATTGCTCTCCTGTTCCCTGTCACGTTCCCAGAGCAGAAAACAGAGCTTGGCCCAAGCTCAGTGCTCCATCAGTACTGGCTTCTAGGTAGACTCGGGCATAGGAGCTTCAGGAGGAGTTGAAAGCTAGAAGCAGTCTGGCCCTCTGGTCTTAGGACAGCCATCTTCTACCAGGAGTCACCTGGCTGGGCCATGATGGATGCCTGCTCTTTCCCGCCACTCTCCCCCCTTCCGCCAAGAGGCTGTCATTATTCTAAACTTGGGAGGAACCGGCCTTCGGCTCTAGGTATCTCTCTACAGAGAACAGTTCATGCAGTCTTCAATGTTGAAACAGGAAGTGAAGAAAGGCAAGATTGGCATTCCCATTTAACAGACGGGAAAACTGGGCCACAAAGGTTAAGCCACTTGCCCAAGGCCATAGAGAGGGTTGGTGCTGGGCGCAGGGTACAGCCTTGGTCTGATAACCATGCCCAGTCCATGGCTTACCCACCCCCCCGCCCCCACAGGTGCCAAGCTTGAACTTAGCCAGCAGCCAGGGTGTCAGGGCCCCGTATGGGCCAATTCTTAGCAAGAAAACAAGTGTATTTCCCTTGGAAATGGCCACCTGGGGACATTTGGCAAGAGCTGGACATACTGCAGGCCTCAGGGAGGCCTCCTCCAAGACATTCCCTGGAAGGCTAAAATGTAAGCTTGGATATCAGAGGCTAGACACCAGCGAGGAGCTGCATGCCTCAGCTGAACAAGCCAGTTTCGCTTGCTGCTAAGGCCACTTGGGTGTGGCCAGGTGAGTTCGGTGAGATGCCATCACCCAGCAGAGCAGGGTAGCTGGCACACAAGAGGCAGCTCAGGTATCCCATGCTGAGTGCCAAGAACCAGTACCCCTTCCTACCCTTCCGGCTGCTTCTGCTCTTGCTTCAGCTACAAACAGCCCGTGCGTGTGTCTGTGGGCACAAGTGGAACCCCGTGCCAGACAGAACAAGGGGATTCCACCACCACCTTCTTAGAGTGGTGCGGAGCCCTGCAACCCCTCTGTCCTGAGGGTGGCCCCATGGTCTGTTGTACCCAGAATGGCCCCGGCTCCTGGGACAGTTCCAGCTGATACCTGCTGTCATGGTTATTTATGGATAGCTTCCTTGTCCCTCCCCAGTGTGCCCCGATTCTGATGAGGGCCTGGCACCTCTGAGCCTTCTGTACACCCCCACGGGTCATTCCTGAGCCTGGCCTTTCCAGGACCCAACCCACTACAGCGCAGAACCACTTTGCCATCAACGTGTCTCAGATCTCACAGAACCTACTAGAAAACCCAGGTATCCTTCCCCCAGGGTCACTGCAAGTTCCCCCTCAGCTCTGTGGAGCAGATGGCAGACATGTACGAACGTACGTACCTTCTGGAATCCAGTCGGCCCCCCTGGAGAACTCTGCGTCTGTTATTGCAAGGAAGGAAAGAAGGGGGGAGGGAGGGGAGATGGAGGTGAGTGAAATTTAAATCCCAGCAGAACGTGTAATGGAATATTCATTTTGTCAAGGGAGCGATTCGTGAAAACTTCTGGTCATCTGCACAACGGAGCCAGCAGGAGATTCGATTTAATGAGCTTTTGAACACACTTCGGGCCCAGGTGGGACTGTGTCTGGGAAGGCCTGGGCCAGGCGCTGGGGGACATGGCCGCCTGGCTTGGTCTGGGCTGACATCTAGTGGCTGACATCTTGGGGACCAGATGCCTGGAGTCTGACCTGGGCCTGGGAGGAGAGGCGCCTCCTCCGGCCCTCTCCTGGGCTTCACCCTCATGGTCCACAGGGATGGACAACTAGCCTCTCTATAGATAGGTTAGAGCACTGCGTAAGAGCCACGGTTGGTTACTGGTGTTACTGTGGCTATTCTGTGTAGGAGGCACGGAGGCCCAAGAGGAGAGAATCCTTAGTCAATGCCAGGCAGGGGAGGGGAGCTGGACCTCAGGCCCCACTCAAGCCCAGTGCAGCACTCCCTTGGAGACCACGTGCGGATTCTGTCAGAGGAAGCCCGTGAACTGAACAGAGAAAGGCACCGACAGCTTTCTGCCTGGCAGCCAGCAAGTGAGGCTCAAGGCTCTGCCGTGATTATTGTCTGGACGCTGGCCTCAGAAGGCAGTAGGTGGCCAAATGCATCATGGGAAGCAAGAACCTGTCTTCTCTCCCCCCCTCCCCACCTCCGAGCTGTCACCTAGGTATACACAGGGCCCACGTGTGTCCCCAGCCCTGTCCTTCCTGGGGCCTGGCTGTCCCCTGAGCACCTACCAGGAGCTGGCCAGAGTCCTTGAGCTTGGACTTGTACAGCATCCAGCGGTAGCGCAGATCTTCCAGCTCCTCTGAATGGTCCCCTGCTGGACCCAAGCGAAGAAGGTTCTCAAAGAGATGCTGACCTTCTGGGACTCGAACCTCCAGCTCCTGAGGGAGAAGGCAGAGTCAGACAGAGCCGCTTCTCGTGGCTTGTATAGACGGGCAATCAAGTGTCACTGCATGGAGAGGCGGGCAGAGAGCTGGCAGACAGAATCCATAATGCAGTAACTTCACTTTATGCCATTTCAAGCCAAGGCCTGTAATCAGTTCTCTGGAATGTTCCAGCATGGCCTTAAGTGTGGTAGGTCAGTTAGAATGCTAACCAATGGGGTCCCTTCCAACTCTGACATCATTAATAAAGTGGCCACCATTGAATTATGTTTCCAAGAGCATTTTTGAGCCTGACAGACTTTTCTACTCAGGTAGAGGACTGTGGTCTCATAGCATGGCAACCTGAATTTCTGGGACTACTACGGTATGATGCTGGGGTGGTTCAAGGCTTTATAGGCAGGAGCGTGGGTTGAAATGTTGTCTTTGGGCCTGCTCCCTCCATCCTTTAGCTGTATGATATGGGGTAATTGGCTTAGCTTTTCAGAGCCTACTAGAATGCCAGCTGGAAAACAGGAAAGGGAGCAGGGGAGCTAAAAGCTATTTCTGCTATAGTGGAGTTGGATACCAGGAAACAAAAGGAAGGAGCAAATCTGAGGCAGGAGAGGTGGGTGGGAAAGGGTCACGGAGGACAAAATATTACCAACAGATCCAGCCATCAAAGGGTTAACAAAGAGTACCATAGATCAGATGAACCCTCAAGAAGAGGAGGGGGACTGGAGGTGTGGCTCAGTGGTAAAGCACCGGTCCAACATGCATAAGGTACTGGGTTTGATCCCAGCACTGAATAAAGGAAAAAGCAAACACTCAAGCAAGGATGAGAACCAGGAGGGAATGCCCTGTGTGTCTGGACTTCCGTTTGCCAGTCTGGCAGATGAATAATTAAGAAATAATGCTTTTGGCAGCCTCACAACATAAGGAGAGGAAGAAGTGGAGTCCCCTCTTCAGTGGAGACTTTTGTACACTTCACCCTAAGAGTAAAGGTGTGAGCCTGAAGTGAACCCCAACTTGTGTATACTTGCAGCCCAGCTCCAGCATCTCAGTGGTCCAGAGGAACTTGGACTCAGCACCCTCAGACTGATAAAGCCCCTACTTCTTAGCAATAATAAAAATAAATAAAAATGAAAAGCCCTCTGTGGAAAGATGACTCTAAATCTCAAATTAGCCATACACATAATTTGTCAAACAAAATGCCGAGCACACAATCGAAGCTGCCACATCTAGACACAGGCTATCAAGAAGAAGCAAAAATATATAACCGACACACTGCGAAAATCCTGGGCGATGGGAAATTTCAAACCACACTGTAAAGCAGCTATATTTACTCTGTCTAAAGAATTAGAGCCGGGCGCCAATGGCTCACGCCTGTAATCCTAGCCACTCAGGAGGCTGAGATCTGAGGATCGGGGTTCAAAGCCAGCCCAGGCAGGAAAGACCCTTATCTCCAATAAACCACTCAGAAAACCAGAAGTGGTGCCATGGTTTAAGTGGTAGAGCACTAGCCTTGAGCTGAACAACTGAGGGACAGTGTCCAGGCCCAGAGTTCAAGTCCCACTACTGACAAAAAAAATAAAAAATATAGGGGCTGGGAAGGTGGCTCAGTGGTAGAGCGCTTGCCTTGCATGCCTGAGGCCCTGGGTTCGATTCCTCAGCACCACATAAGCAAAAAGAAAAAAGCTGGAAGTGGCGCTGTGGTTCAAGTGGTAGAGCGCTAGCCTTGAGCTGAAGAGCTGAGGGACAGCGCCCAGGCCCCACAACCGGACCCCCCAAAAAATAAATAAAAAATAAAAAACATAATTATAAAGCAAGCTGGGCATTGGTGGCTCATGTCTGTCATGCCAGCTGTACAGGTGGCTGAGGTCTGAGGATAGACCACATTTTGCCTTCAATTAACCAGCAAAAAACCCAGAAGTGAAGATATGGCTCAAGTGGTAGACTGAAAAAAGCTAAGCAAGACTGAAATCATGAGTTCAAGTCCCAGTACTAACACACACACACACACACACACACACACACAAATAGAGTTTTCTAAAAATACCCTGGACAAAAGATGTAGGAGTTTGAATCATTCTCCAGCAGGATAAATAAATAAATTTCAATCTCTACCACAGTATACTTTTATAAAACCAAAGAGTAGGCCAGGAGGTCCAGGGCCTTGTTAAAGAGCCATCTTAGATGACAAAACAGAGCTCTAAGCCCATCCTGAGCACTGTACTCAGTGTGTAACACTGATTAACCACCAAAAAGACCTGAGTGGAGCCACGGTTTAAGTGATAGAGCACTAGCCTTGAGTGAAAAAGCTTAGGGACAGTACCCAAGTCCTGAGTGCAAGCCCCAGTACTGGCATACACACGCACACACCAAAAAAATTTAAGATCTGCTATTTTCCACTAGCGAGAGTAGCTCACTGGTGTATCTGCTCGTGGGTGTATCTGCTTCTGGGTGCTCACTGGTATGTCTGCTCCTTTGTTCGGAAGATTCCACAGACCCCCACGGACAAGGAACCAACCTGAAGTTTTGTCTCTCTGGCCCTCACATCCTGGGCTGTGGTGGTTTTCATCGCGATAATTCGGATCAGCTTGGAATTTTCCGTCTGCAGCCACTGCTCGAAGTTCCCAAACAGCCTGGAGAAATCTTCACAGCCGCCCTCCCTTGCCTCCTGCAGGCCCGCCTGAGGAAGTCACATGACCAGGGGGCAGAGGTGAGAAAGGCCCTCTGGGGATTCCACAGAGGGGCAGGTAAGGACTGGGTGCTGAAGGGTGGGGAGAGGCTGGCCAGTCCTGCGGGTTGGCAAGGTTGTAGACTACATACTACATGGGGAGATGAGGGAATGACCCAGAGCGTGAGTAATTGACATTCTCAGACTGGCTTTTGAACTCCTGGGCTCAAGTGATCCTCCTGTCTTAGCTTCCCAAGGGCTGAGATTACAGACATATGCAATCACACCTGGCCTGACAGATTGTTTCTGAGCAACAAGCAATACAATTCTGTTCAGCATGGCTCAGGTTTTTCTTTCTTTCTTTTCTGGTCCTGGAGCTTGAACTCTGGGCCTAGAGGCTATAACCCAAGCTGCTTTTACGCTTCAGGATAGTGCTCTAGCACTTGAGCCACAGCTCCACTTCCAGCTTTTTCCCAGTAATTTATTGGAGATAAGAGTCTCATGGGCTTTGCTGCCTGGGCTGGCTTTGACCAATGATCCTCAGATCTCAGCCTCCTGAGTAGCCAGTGTGACAGGCGTGAGCTGCCGGCACCCAGCTTATGGCTCCATTTTGGGGTTTTTCTGTTTGATGCCATGTAGTAAATATTTTTCAGTGGGAGGGTCTCTGAGTCCCCTCTGTGACACACAGCAAAAGCAGCCACCTCCTGCCCGCCCCCCACATCCGCCAGACTCACCCCACGCCGCCGCCTGGGAATAGCATCCCCGGGGTTGACGAGGAAGCCAGACTTAGGGATGTTGTTGGTGAAAACCAGCTTCCTGTCCGAATCCACTGGGGTCATCCGCAGCTGCCATTTCCTCCTGAGGCCAGAAGACAGGGAGGGGGCATGGTCCATCAGCTCTGGGGTCCCATGGTTCTGCTGCTGACCGCAACCTCGAAGTCATCTCTGAGGGGTGGCAGGGTGCTGCGGGGCCCATTCTCACCCTGTTCCCAACTTCCACCCACATCACCCCCTCCCCCCAGGTCCACGCACAACCCCAGAGATGGAGAGAAGAAAACTGAGGCCGGAGCCAGACAGGATGAAGGGATAGAGCCCTGCCCTGCTTCTCATGGCCTGATCAGAGTCGCCAACTGGGCCCAAGTGTGCAGACAACGACCTCCACCCGGCCCCGGCGCCAGGCCTGGTACAGAGGCTGTCCAGCACCGGCTCCCAGACAGCAGGGTGGGGGGCACCTCTCACCTCAGTGCTGCCTCCTCCAGCTGCCTCAGGGCCTGCCAGGACTCCTCCAGCTCCCGGAGCTCCTCCCGGACCGCAGCCGCGCCCTCTGGAGAAGACTTCTCCATCACCAGCTGGCCCATGGCCTCCATCAGCGGCAACTGGGCCTCCTTGCCCGGGAGCTCCGCCAGCAGCCTCTGAGGGACACAGGGACACAGACAGTGAGGCCCCAGGAGTAGAGAGGGCTCTGCCTCCACATGTGGGAGCATCGGTGGTAGAGGCTTGGGAGGAGGCCGGTAAGACAATGAATAGCCAGCTCACCTCCACCTCTTGGGGCTCGGTCTCCCCGGAGCCTGCCTCTGTCCGGTATGACGCCAACATCTGTGTGACCATGGCGATCCACTGTCGTAGCTCCAGCAGCCGGTGGCTCCAGGTACAGTGCTCCCTCACGCTCTGCCCACACCTGTCCACCAGGTCCTGCGGCACAGCCCAGAGGGCCAGGGTGCCCTGAGTGTGGGTGGAGGCAGGGACCCGGGCACTGCCTAACCCCTGCAGGACTCTCAGGCTTCCCCCAACTCCTAACGCCATCAGGAACAGCACAGGGCTGGGCCTCCCCTCTGCCCAGGCCAACTCCGGTGAAAACCGTGTTTCTATGGGATGGGGGCGTGCCCAGCTCCCATCCACCCCGGCACGCCAGCCCTTTGCAAAACCACTGGGAAGCATCAGGTAAAATGGAATTGGGTATGGTGGTTCGTGCCTGTAATCTTAGCTATGCAAGAAGCTGAGGTCAAGAGGCTCATGGTTTAAGACCAGCTTGGGCAGAAAATAAGATCTTATTCAGAAATAAAAAAAGAAGGCAAAAGGACTAGAGGTATGGCTCAACTGGGAAAGTGACTGCCGTGCCCAGCGCAAGGCCCTGAGCTGAGCCCAAGTAGAGCCACACAAACACAGGGGTGCCTCCTGACCCAGCCAGCCTGCTCCTGATATGGATAAGCACATTCCCCACGGCGGAATGCTCTAAAACAACAAGCGTCACATGCAAAGCCCACAACCGATGCCAGCTAGGTTTCAAATCTGAGGCTAGAGCTGCCCCTGAGGGTCAGGCGTGGTCCCAGGAGGGCATAAAGGACGCTGGCGTTACCCTGGCTTTTATCTGACTGCTGTGACTACTTGGGCCCAGTTGGTGACAGATCCGTGTAAGTTTTAAAAATCTGAGTCAGGCACCAAGTGGCTTGCTCCTGTAACTCTAGCTACTTGTGAGGCTGCGAATAGGAGGACCGCAGTTTGAGGGCTGCCCAGGCAGAAGCAGTCACAAGACCTCTTCTTAATCCCATGGCCTTGGGCCATGGAGAACACCTGTCATACCAGCTATGGGAGCCGAGCTGAGGGCTGGCCTTGTCGGTTCCAGGCCAACGAGCACAGAAACGTCAGTGAGACTCCATCGCCACAGAAGGAAGCTGGAGGCGGTGCACGAGTGGGTGAGGGACCCCTGACTCACACCGAGTTTTCTTCAGGAAAATGGACAGACCTAAGCCTCCGTCAGAGTCCCCGCGTGCCCAGCCTGGAGAAGCCCTGGGCTCCATTCACTGCACGAAGTGGAACGGAGCCGGTGAGAACGCCAGCGAGTGCTCAGGTGGCCACTAGAGGGTGCTGCCGACAAGGCTCTGCAGAACCTGGCCTACGGCAGCCTGGCTGTCGTGACCCAGGCAACCTCAGCTCTCTGCCCAGGCAGTGGCCCCAGTTCCCATGCAGAATCATAGCTGCGGGCTAACTGCCACCTACCCAACCCCGGAGAACACAGCCTTGCCTGCCTCGTTCAGGCTGTGTCTTATCCCCATGGTGCCTAGAGCAGTCCCCAGTGCTGGGTAGTCATCTGCTATCCGAATGGAAAAGGGAAGGAAGGAGTAAGAAAGAGAGGGAGGAGGGAGGGAGGGAAGGGAGGGGAGGGAAGGAAGGAAGGAAGGAAAGGAAGGAGGGAAGGCACAGACAGGCCCCAGGCATGTAGGCTTCCAGGGCCAGGACCCAGTGGCTTCTTGGCCCTTGGCTGTCCCCCTACCTCCAGGGCCCTCTGCAGGGTGTGGTGGTCAGAGCAAAGCTGGTCCAGCTGGTGCTGGTGGTTGGATTTCTCCTGAATGAGGGGCCTCACTGCCTCTATTTGGACTCCCAGCTCCATACTCTCTCCTTGCAGCGCCTGCAGGGAGACGGGAAAAGGTCAGCTGTTCATCTTGCTTCTGTCTCAGGGAGAGACTGAGGGGCTCTGAGTGAGAGTCCAGGGAGAAGGGGGAGGGGCTCTGAGTGATAGTCCAGGGAGAAGGGGGAGGGGCAGTGAGTGAGAGTCCAGGGAGAAGGGAGAGGGGCAGTGAGTGGGAGTCCAGGGAGAAGGGGGAGGGGCTCCGAGTGAGAGTCCAAGGAGAAGGGGGAGGGGCTCTGAGTGAGAGTCCAGGGAGAAGGGGGAGGGGCAGTGAGTGGGAGTCCAGGGAGGAAGGGGGAGAGGCAGTGAGTGATAGTCCAGGGAGAAGGGGGAGGGGCAGTGAGTGAGAGTCCAGGGAGAAGGGGGAGGGGCTCTGAGTGAGAGTCCAGGGAGAAGGGGGAGGGGCAGTGAGTGAGAGTCCAGGGAGAAGGGGGAGGGGCAGTGAGTGAGAGTCCAGGGAGAAGGGGGAGGGGCAGTGAGTGGGAGTCCAGGGAGAAGGGGGAGGGGCAGTGAGTGGGAGTCCAGGGAGAAGGAGGAGGGGCAGTGATAGTCCAGGGAGAAGGGGGAGGGGCAGTGATAGTCCAGGGAGAAGGAGGAGGGGCAGTGATAGTCCAGGGAGAAGGGGGAGGGGCAGTGAGTGGGAGTCCAGGGAGAAGGGGGAGGGGCTTCCAGGATGGCAGCTCCCCACAGCAGCAGCTACACCATAGGCTATTCTGATAGGCCCCCTCTCAGAGCAGATAAAAATTTAGATTTCAGACAAAAATATTCTGGAGGCATCATGAAAACAGTGTGGGCAAGGCCAGATGGTGTCCGCAGCGCAGACATCAGAACTTCACACCCTGACTGACCCTCACTCCCGATGAAGACTCACCGCTCCTTTGGTAGCATGGTGAGTGAATCCCAGAGGACACTCATTTTGTGTATGAGCCACAACGGAATTTTAAACTACAACCACCAAACTGGGTGCCAGTGGCTCACACAGTTAATCCTAGCTACTCAGGAGGCTGAGATCTGAGGATCGCAGTTTGAAGCCAGCCTTCACGGGCAGGAAAGCCCGTGAGATTCTCATCTCCAGTTAACCACCAACAAAAAGCCAGAAGTGGAGCTGTGGCTCAGGGACAGCACCCAGGCCCTGTGTTCAAGGTCAGGACCCCTCCCCCCTTATACAAATATACATACAAAAGACAATATGCACAACATGCATCACATACATCACATGCATTTGGAAAACCAGAAAGCACCTCATCCAGCCAACAGCAGTCAATGAGCAGGCTGTTTGCAGTACACATGGTTTATTCAATGGAAGGCTTCTAGACTCACTAGGAAGTTAGCAAGGAAAAAACAAAACAAAAATACAGAATTGGGAGGCAGGGTTAAGTGGTAGAATGCCAGCTCAGTAATTACGAGGCCCTCTGTTCAAATCCTAGTCCCAGAAGAAAAAAAAATTGCCAGGGGCAGGGGCTTATTCTTGTAAAGCTAGCTACTCGGGAGGCTGAGAGATAGAGGATTGCAGTTTGAAGCCAGCCTAGGCAGAAAAGTCCACAAGACCCCCATCTCCCATTAACCAGCTAAAAAAATCAGGCTGGAAGTGTGGCTCAAGTTGTAGAGCTCCAGCTGAGCAAGCAGGTTGCCCTGAGTTTAAGCTCCAGTCACGGGAAGAAAGAAAAAATAAAACAAGTATCAATGTTGGACTTTAGAACTCCAGAGTAAATAAAGGATCTGTTTCTCATTTTGCTCCATTCAATAGCCCTGTGGAGGCCAGGAAGCATCAGATAAATAAATAGACAAAAAGTCAGATCAAGTGAGATGGATCACTACCCTGGGCTCCAGCTCCCTGCTGCTCCCCGGTTCCCCTTGTGAGAAGGGAGGGCAGCTTCTGTGCACAACCAAGCCTCCACATGGGGGTGACCAGGGCCCACAAACCTCCTCACCTGCAACCGTGAATGCTGGGCCTGTTTTCCGGGGATGTCCCTCTGGAGCCCTTTCTCCGCCTCCATCCTGACTTGCAGGTCCAAGAGCTTCCTCTGCAGGGGTTCAAAAGCAGCCCCAAAGTCTTTGTGCTGGACAAGCAAACTCTGCAGAGGCAGAACCAGGCTGCTGCAAATTAAGTGCTTACCTCCTGGGTACCTACTCGTATGCGTAGACTTGCAATCCAGTTGCTCCCATGAGTACTGGCGTGGGAGTCTGTCCATGGGTCACAGCTCTCTCCCAGTGTCACACTTTGATCACACCATTTTAGAACAGGGGCTGGCAGCCTCCCCCCACCCCATCCTATTAGAGATCTCTTTGTACAAATAAAGTTTTATTAAAACAAAGATGCAGCCATTTGTTTCCACTGTGACAATTTGAATGACAGCTGAGCCAAGGGCCCTGCACACATAGATCCCCTCTACTCTTGCTTTTCACAGTCTGTGGGCCCTTGCTTAAGATCGACATCATGATGGGCCCTGGGAAATGCCTGCCCTGCTGTCTCTGCCACTGGCTTGTGTCTGTTCCATGGGGAGACCTCAGCTTCCTCTCCATGTCCCCCTAATCCTCCAGTTCCTGAAACCCAGCCTAGCTCTGCCAATGAGGGTCAGAGCCCGGGGTGAGATCGCAGCCTTGGAGTCAAACAAACAGCAGTATGTGCAGCCTGAGTCTTAGCCCTGCCATTTCTAGACCACAAGCCCCTCGTTTGAGTGCCTCTGAACCAAGACAAACCTCCTCATGGTGTCCCTGGAGTCAGATAGATCACAGGTGTGAAGCTCTTGGCAAGTGCCTGACCTGCACCCAGCGTCCCAGAGATTGTAATCATTATGGTCACCATAATCAGAGACCCAGCGGGCATTCATCATACAGAAGAGGCTGCTCGGGCTGGGAAGGTGGCTCCGTGGTGGAGCGCTTGCCTTGCATGCCTGAGGCCCTGGGTTTGATTCCTCAGCACCACATAAGCAAAAAGAAAAAAGCCGGAAGTGGCGCTGCAGCTCAAGTGGTAGAGTGCTAGCCTTGAGTTGAAGAGCTGAGGGACAGCGCCCAGGCCCAGAGTTCAGGCCCCACGACCGGACCCTCCCCCCCCAAAAAAAGAGGCTGCTCACAGAATTTCAAGCTATGTAGGCCAGTGCCAGTGGCTCACATCTGTAATCCCAGCTACTTAGAAGGCTAAGTTCTGAGGAACACAGTGCCAAGCCATCCCTGACAGAAAAGTACACAAGACTCTCATCTCCAGTGGACCAGCAAACATCCAGAAGTGGAACTGTGGATCAGGTGGGAGAGCACCAGCCTCAAATGGAAAAAGGGATCCTGCCAAGGCCCTGAGTTCAAGCCCCTGTACTGGCATCGAGAGAGAACAACAAAAAAAACAAAAACAACAAAAGCTCTATCTTTGTTTTAGTGTGACAAGAGTGTCTCTCCAGTAACACCCACATTCCTAGCATGTGGTTGTTTCATCTTCACAATTACTCTTTTTCTCCAAGCTTTCCTGTCTCTGAGGAAGATAGTTCAGTTAGATTGCAGTTGGGAGCTGGCCAGGGAGCCAGTTCAAGGGAGACCAGAATCCTTTTACACATAAAGGGCCTGAGATTGCGGGAGACAAAGAATCACCCCCAGGGTCACAGTGGCAAGGGGTAGAGCTGGGATTAGAACACCCACAGGGCATCCTGAGGGTCCATCCACTCACCTGCAGCTTGCTCCTTCTCTGCAGAAGGCGGTTGTGCAGCAGGTCCCTGTCCCTCACGGCCCCCGCCACCTGCTCCAGCAGTGCCTGCGCTCTCTCCTGGCCAAAGACGCTATCCAGCAGGTCTGCCTTCAGCGGCAGTGCGGCCAGCTGCTCCTTCAGACGAGAGCTTTCCACCAGGGCTGCCTAGGGAACCCAAGCCACCTGTGAGCCACAAAGCACACCTGCGCTGGTGCATAGGAGGCCGGGGAACAGTAAGCCTGAATGGGAAGACACTGCCTCGAGGAAGACCCTGCATTGGTTCTTCTCTTCGCCCCGCCCCAATCCATCACTTTGGCCACGCCCACGATGCAATTCTGCCTCCTCCTTGTCTCAGAAATCCCCCCCCCCCAATCCCACCTCCTCTGGCTGCCATTCCACACTCAGCTCCTGTGGGGATACCGCAGGACTGCCTTCCCCACGGTGGCCCACACCATGCTCAGCAAGGTGGGCCTCCAAGGGAGATCTCCATCACTGACAGGGTCTCTGGGGCCCTGCTGGCACCCTCTGGGAGACACAGACTTTACTGCTTGAAGCCACCTGTAAACGCCTTAGGGTTTAAGGGCAGCCTCAGAAAGGAAGGTGCCACAGCCGGGCACTGGCGGTTCACGCCTGTCATCCTAGCTACTCAGGAGGCTAAGATCTGAGGATCACGGTTCAAAGCCAGCCCAGGTAGGAAAGTCTGTGAGACTCTGATCTTAATAAAAACCACCAGAAAACTGGAAGTGGCGCTGTGGCTCAAGTGGTAGAGTGCTCATCTTGAGCTGAAGAGCTGAGGAACAGCGCCCAGGCCCAGAGTTCAAGCCCCTCAACCAACCAAAGAAAAGAAAAGAAAAAAGGAAGGTGCCAGGTGTGGCCTGCCATTAGGATTCATTCTGGATGATCTTTGAAGATCTGTCACAGAACTCAGAGGAAACTGGAGGTGTTTTCCCAGGCTGGCTCCTTCTGTCTCTCTGGGCAGACAGGCGCAGGAGGAGCCAGCCCTGAGGCCAACAGTCAGGGTGAAGGTACCGGCCTGGAAGAGAGGCTCACAGGCCACACGCCAGGCTGGCACCTCTCCAGACACATGAGTCAGCCGGCCTGCCCGGAGCAGGGTTAGTACCTCGATCTGGGGCAGGAAGGTGTGAATGGAGGGCAGGTCTGGCAGGCTGGCAGTGACGTCCAGGAGCCGCTGGGCCAGGGCCTCCCACAGCTGCAGTTCGTGCAGGGGGCGCTGGAAACGCTGCCATAGCTCTGCCCCCGTGGCATTGCGGAGCCGGGTGCTCAGGGTCTTCATGCTGCAAGGATCAGAGAGGGGCAAATGGAGAGGAGAATGTGTGGTTGGGGACCAGCATGGGTTCCCCGGAGCCCAGTGTGCACTTCTCTTTCCTACTTTTTGGACTACAGGCAGTAATTGCAGTGATGGGTATGGTAGGTAGATGGCAGAGACCTCTGAGCACTGATATGAAAAAGCACTGGGCAAATGCAGCAGCAGTGCTCACTGGACACTATGTTGAAAATGAACTGTATTGGCTGGGAAGGTGGCTCAGTGTAGGGGCTGGGAAGGTGGCTCAGTGGTAGAGTGCTCACGTAGCATGCATGAAGCCCTGGGTTCAATTCCTCAGTACCACACAAAGAGAAAAAGCTGGAGGTGGCGCTGTGGCTCAAGTGGTGGCCTTGAGCCAAAGAAGGACAGGCATAGTGTCCATGTCCTGAGTTCAAGCCCCAGAACTGGCAAGAAAAAAAAAGCATTGGGCATGGCTCAGGTCTTTCTGAGGTCAAACCTGCAGACTCTTTATTATTATTATTAATTATTTTGTGCTGGTATTGAGGATTGAACTTGGGACCTTCTGTTCTCACTTGGCTTTTTCACTCAAGGCTGGTGCTCTAACACATGAGCCACAGCTCTACTTCTGGCTTTTTGGTGGTTAATTAGAAATAAGAGTCTTTCAGATTTGTGTGCCCAGTGTAGCTTTGAACCATGATCCTCAGATCTCAGCCTTCTGAGTAGCTAGGATTACCAATGCAAGCTACTGGTACCCAGCTTAAACTTATAATTTTTAAAAAGATGAGTAAGCCAGGCACTGGTGGCTCATCCCTGTAATCCTAGCTACTCAGGAGGCTGAGATCTGAGGATCTCGGTTCAACCCCAGACCAGGCAGGAACGTCCATGAGACTCTTATCTCCAATTACCCACCAGCAAAACCTGAAGTGGTACTGTGGCTCAAGTGGTAGAGCGCTCATCTTGAGCTGAAGAGCTGAGGGAGAGTGCTCAGGCCCAGAGTTCAAGCTCCACAACCCACAAAATAAATAAATAAAAAGATGAGTAAACAACAGAAAGGTAGGTCTAATACCCAAAGCTACTCTGCCCCCTCGGGCCTTTGCCAATCTAGAATCTACAGGACAGAGCAAAGCTATGCCCCCTCCATCTACCCCTCTACTGCTTTGCGCTCAGGAAGTCCAGCCCCTTACCCACACTGCCTCAGCATCCCACAGGGGATGCAGGCCCTGTCCCAACTTTACAGATGTGGGCCTAGCACAGCTGTGAATGGAAGCCTCCATTATTCGGAAAGAACCCCGTAGCAGGCAGAGGTATGCGACACACCGAGGCTGCAGGCACCTGAAGCTGTGTGTTCAGGACATCCTGAATTCACACAGCAGGTACACATTCCCACGGGGGAAGCCTTTATCCTACAGTCTTTGCTGGGCAAGGAAGCTGGGCAACTGGGCCTGGGGGCCCAGGGGTCAGGTCAAGGCTGGGCTGGCATGCACACCAGCCACCCCCACAGATCCATGCACACAGGCTCTGATGGTTTGGTTTTGGTGTAGTCACTGGCAAAGAATGGCTTTTATCAGTGATCTCTCTCCCTTCTGGCCATCACACACTAAACCTCACGCTGAAGTGGCACAGGGGGACCCAACAGAAATGGAATGAGCTGCCTCGAAAGGAAATCACGCTCGACATGGCCTAGGACAACCTCAGTCAGCGAGCAGGGCCACCTCCTGGAGAGAGGCCAGCAGTGTGGGGCATGCCCCTACCCCGGCCTCGGCCCCCACGTACCTCTGATACTCCTGGATGGCAGCCACCACATGATCAGAGAAGGACTGCAGGTCAGGGAAGGCGAGCAGCTCCTTCAGCTGGACCTGTAGCCGGTCCACGCGAGGCTCCTCCAAGGCCAGCGCTGCCCTTGTGGCCTGTAGGACAGGACAGCACCATGGGGGGAGGGAATGTGAGAAGGGGGCTGAGCATGGGCCAGGGAGTGTGGCCCACCAGTTTCTCCACACTGGTTACCAAGGGCAGGAACCAGAGGCTCCACGATCGAGTTCAGTCCCTGTTCCCCACCTAGAGCGTGGCTTCCCTGCCTCCCTTAAGTCTTGAGCCACACCTCCACTTCCGGCTTTTTTGCTGGTCCACAGATTCTCACAGAGTCTCACAGATTTGTCTACCTGAGCTGACTTCAAACCACCAGCCTCAAGACTCAGCTTCCTGAGTAGCTAAGATGACAAGCATGAGCCACCGGTGCTGACTTGATCAGTGACTTTTAAGCAGAGGCTGAGTACTTGGGAGTCTGATCATGGGGGTTCAATGACCATTACCCCTTCTGTGCATATGAGGTGGGGGGGGGTCCAAAGCTGTCCCATAGCAAGGGGAAGGGGCAGCAGGTCCTGGGTGGAAAGATGGTGCTGTAGGGTGACCTGGTTCACAAGGAGGCTGGATAAGAGACCACAGAGGGCTGGGAATGTGGCTGAGTGGTAGAGTGCTTGCCTAGCATGCATGAAGCCCCGGGTTCGATTCCTCAGTACCATAAATAGAAAAGCTGGAAGTGGTGCTGTGGCTCAAGTGGTAGAGTGCTAGTCTTGAGCACAGAGAAGCTCAGGGATAGTGCCCAGGCCCAGAGTTCAAGCCCCAGGACTGGGGAGAGGGAGAGAGAGGGAGAGAGAGGGAGAGAGAGGGAGAGAGAGGGAGAGAGAGGGAGAGAGAAAGAGAGACCACAGAGCAAGCACTTACACACGCACTCTCTCAACACATAGATACTGTGCATACAGGTGAAGATTCAAAGGAAGAGAGGAAATTCAAGAGTGGTGGAGAGGAAAGATGGGATGATTTTTCTCTAAACCACTTCTTTCATGGAAATAACCAAAGGCGAGGAGTGGAGGAGGGGTGCTGATCCACGAGTCACCCCCTGAGTGTCCCCACAAAGACCCACATGCTGGTCTCAGCAGTAGCTGTTGGGAGGTCCATGAACTTTTGTCCCTAAGGGGACGTCCCTGGCTCTCTGGGGGTGGGGGTGGGGTTGAAGGAGCCCCTAGGGCTGAATGTCCCAGGGTTATTCTGCTTCCTGCCTCATGATAGGCCCAAGAAAATGCAAATCCCAGACCACAGCCTCCATGACCCTGAGCCAAAACCTTCAGTCTTTGTAAGTGAATTGTCTATAGTATTTCATGGCATTTCATAGTATTTCTAGTATTTCATAGTAGGTCATGGTAGATGACCTACCATGAATGTAGGTCATCTCTGGAGTGGACAGGATGGGGTGTCCTCTGATTGGGTGTCTGGGTCCAGGCCTCCCTGGGCCCCCCTCATCACAGGCATCCTTGGCTCAGCACCCCCACATGCATCTCTCTATGACACGTTCCTTCTGGCCCAACATTCCAAATCCCTTCCAAGGAAGTCTACCCCTCATCTCGCCACCGGCCAGGGACGGGCTCTGAGGCCCATGCCTGAAGTCCTGTGCTTCCTCTGGTCTTGCTCTTCTACCCACCGTGAACCTTGTCCCCTCATTGAAAAGTGTGGACAGGCCCCATCTTGACTGTTTTCCCCAAGGCAGGGGCCAACCGCTGCTTACCGAGCAGCGCCTCCAGTGAGCCACCAGCTGGTCCTCCGTGGCCCCGGGCGCCACGGGCTCCAGGCCCTGCTGGCCCAGCTGCTCAAGTCTCTGCCTGAACTCCCGGAGCTCGGCTTCCAGCTGCCGGATGCGCTGCTGGCAGGCGCCCTGGGACCGCAGCAGGCCCTGGAGCCGCCCATCCTCTTCCTGCCAGAGCACCCGCAGCTTCTCCAGAACCATCCGCATCTCCTCCAGTTCAGCCGTGAGTCTCTCCGCACCCAGGGGAGAGGTGTTCCCAATGATGGCCGGCACCCGCTCCTCCAGCCTCGCCAGAGCCTCTTCACCCCTGGGGAAATCCTTAGCGATGTCCTGCGGGGGCGAGGGGGGAGGGTAAGGAGGAGAGGGGACACCAGAGTGGGGGAGGGAGAAAAAGCAAATGTGAGCAGGGCACCTGTGGCTCACACCTGTCATCCTAGCTCTAACTCAGGAGGCTGATATCTGAGGATCATGGTTCAAAGCCAGCCTAAGCAGGAAAGTCTGTGAAACTCTTATCTCCAATAAACTACTCAGAAAAAGCTGGAAGTGGTACTGTGGCTCAAGTGGTAGAGCACTAGTCTTGAGCACAAAGAGGCTCAGGGACAGCACCCAGGCCCTGAGTTCAAGCCCCGGGACTGGCAAAAATAAATTAATTAAATTAAAAGGAAAAAGCAAATGTGTGTCGCACATTCCGGATCCAGAAGGCAGGCATAGGACTGGTTCCCAGATTCCTGAGCCCGGAAGCCTACCAGCTGCCCAAGGCTGGGCCACGGGCTGCGCCACACACGGGCTTCCTTTTCTCATCAAGCCATTTGATTAAGTCAAGAAGCAAGTCTTCTGTTGTCTTCAGCATTTCCTAGCATTTCTTCTTTTTCTTCCTTTATATTTTTGTGCCAGTACTGAGGCTTAAACGCAGGGCCTCACACTCTTGCTTGTTTTTTTTTTTTTTGTTCAAGGTTGGCACTCAACCGCTTGAGCCCATACCTCTAACTTCCGGCTTTTTGATGGTTCATTGGAAAAAGAGTTTCGTAGACTTTTCTGCCTGGGCTGGCTTCTAAGCCAGGATCCTCAGATCTCAGCCTTCTGTGTAGCTATATTGCCAGTGTGAGCCACCAATCCCTGGCCTCCTGGCAGTTTAAAATTTTTCTTTTAAACAAACAGGCTTAGAGCCATTGGCAATCAACACTTAAATAGAAACTAGGGCTAGGTATCTCACACCTATAATCCTAGCTACTTATTAGGCTGAGGATTATGGTTCAAAGCCAGCCCAGGTAAAAAAGCCCATGAGACTCTCATCTCCAATGAACCACCAAAAAAAGCCACAAGTGGAGCTGTGGCTCAAGTGGCAGAGTTCTAATCTTGAGGACAAAAGCTCAGAGACAGCACCCTGGCCCTAAATTCAAGCCCCAGGACTGGCACAAAAACTGACTGACTGAAGGAAGGAACTTGAGCCTGGGCGCTGCAGGCTTCGGGCAATGCTGGGGCTCTGGTTAGGCCTGGAAGGACTAACCTGCAGGGCAGCCAGGCGGAGCTCTGTGGTCAGCTGGGAGTTCCGTCCCAGGCAGCTGTGAACCTTCTCCACCACTGCCTTCAGCCACAGCTGGAACTCGTCCACACTGGCCTGGTACTGCTCGTGCTCCTGGGCAATGCTGGCCAGTAAGTCCACCCGCTCCTAAGGGCAAGGGACAACTGCCATGAGCCTTCAGAGCCAGCGGTGCCAGCCTGCTACATCTGTGTGGATGGGGGGGGGGGTTAAACAGCCCACATTCAGTCCTGGCAGTAGAAACTGAGAGGTGCTCTTTATCCCAAGTAGCACCACGTCAGGAGATGGGTTTGAAGGCCCAGATGCTGACCCTGGCACCTGCCTTCACTACAGCTGGCGTTTTTTCTCGTGTCCGAGTCGCACCCGAATGGGGTGTGAATACAACTACAATGACAACACTGCCCGGAGCACCGGCCTGCAGAGTCTTCACCATGGTAGATTTTCCACACATAACTCCTTGAATCTCCTGACCATCTATGGTAGCTTCCCATTAGGATCCTGGCTTAGCGACACCCAGCCTCCTAGAGGTGATGTGACTGGCCCAAGGCTGCTGAACCAGCACAGGCTGAAATGCAAGGCAGATGCATAGGTGCCTCTCGCTCCGTCCACAGCAGCGGCTGCAGGGTAAGCCACAATTGGCAGGCCATTCCATGAACATGGCGATGCTCCCTGCATAGCGGGAGTCTTCGCCATTCCCAACCAGTCCCACTGTGGGCCAAACCACCCAGGTTGGTGTCTCAAGGGTAGAGGGCATCTGAGGGAAAGACTGTTCCTGCTGTAAGCCTCAGTCACTGTTCCTAGAGATTAATTCACAAACCACCCATGCCAGCGCTGTCTCCCTAGAGCCCTACAACTATGGCTCCCCCTGGCACCAAGCCCAAGCGAAAACCTTGAATCTTAGTGTTCAAAACCTCACAGGGTGGATTGGAAATGAGGCTTAGTGGTAGAGTGTTTGCCTAGCATGCATGAAACCCTGGGTTCGATTCCTCAGTACCACATACACCGAAAAAGCCAGAAGTGGCACTGTGACTCAAGTGGTAGAGTGCCAACCTTGAGCAAAAATGCTCAGGGACAGTGAGTTCAAGCTAGCACTGGCACAAAAACAATCAAATAACAGGGAGAGAAAAACTGGGAGAGAGCAAGGGAAAGGATGACATTGTTTCCCCTGAAAAAATGTACTCTTTATCTGACTTATGTTACTGTAACCCCTGTATACATCACCATTATAATAACAATAAAAAATCTTTTTAAAAAATCAAACAAAAAACAGGGTCAGGTGGCTCATACCTATAATCCCAGCTACTCCAGAGACTGAGATAACCGAAGTCAATGGCCAGTCTGGGCCCTATGAATCTGTTTCCCAGAAACTTTAAAGAAAAGTTGTTCTCGGCAGGTATTTTGCCACAGCAATGGAAGTCGAGTTCGGAGGGGGTTTGTGCTGCGGGAAGCCAGAGGGAGGGAGGGGCCTCGGTGGACAAGTACTTCCACGTGGCTGATGTGGACTGCTACCTCACACTTACAATCCCACAGTCTCTGCCCTGCAGGACGCAGGTCCTGGAACGCTGGCCCCACCCACAGGGCTGAGATTCACACAGCAGATGTGAGTCCCTGGGCAAGAGTAGATGCAGTCACTGCTCAGGCTGGGGCTTTGCAGACCACGCCCCACGAGGGCCACAGGGGGATGCTTGGCTCCTCCACGTTCAGACTCTGCAGCAGCCGTTTCCAGAGGGCGCTGCGTGCACCGCAGCTGGCACATTAGGCTCTGTGGATACTGCGCACAGGATGGCCCTGCTCCGTCACCCTTCCCTGGGGACTCTTGGACTTCATGTCACTTTGACATGAGACATGTATTATTCAGCTCGCAGTTTTTGTCCCCTGGCCCCCATTCAGACATGAACTTGACACATGAGCCCTAATGTGCTTTTTACCAAGTTCAGAAAGCTGAGATCTGAGGATCAAGGCCCAAAGCCAGCCCAGAGACTCATCTCTTAACTAGCCAGCAAAAAGCCAGAAGCAGAGGAGTAGCTCAAGTGTTAGAGCACCAGCTGTGAACAGAAAAACTCAAGCAAGAATGCAAGGCCCTGAGTTCAAACCTTAGTGCTGGCATGCACACACACGTGTGTATGCACATGTGCACACATATACACATACCTACATACACACATACACACAAGTTCTCTGGAATATAAAGCAGACAGATAAATGATCTTAAAACTTTTCCTAGCTACTTATATATGCTGCCTCTCTTCAAAATCTAACAACAGTCAGGGCTAGGAAGGTAGCTCAGTGGTAGAGTGCTTGCCTTGCATGCATGAGGCTCTGGGTTCAATTTCTCAGCACCACATCAGCAGAAAAAAGCCGGAAGTGGCGCTGTGGCTCAAGTGGTAGAGTGCTAGCCTCAAGCTGAAGAGCTGAGGGACAGCGCCCAGGCCCAGAGTTCAGCTCCCACAGCTGGGGAAAAAAAAAAATCTAATAGTAACTCACTTAAACCTCTGCAGCAGCAACAGCAAGTGGGAGAGGAGCTCTCCACCTGACAAGTGGAAGCAAAGAATTAGACCAGGCCCTTCCAGGAAGTGCTCAGAAGTCTCTCTGCAGTACTGCTTACAGCAGAAGAGGACCCCTGATTGGGGCGATGCCTTTGCATCTCTGCCCTGTGGTCCTCAAATCCATGTTCTAGCCCCTCCCATTCCTGCAGCGCCCTCCCCCCCCCCTTCGATCCTGAGGGTCAACCTCCAACAGAACCCTGGGAAACCATGCCCTGCCCCGCCCCATCCCTGGACGGGCTGTGTGGAGCATGTTGGGTTAGGAGAGGCCTGTGGAGACTGTGTGTGCGTGTGAATGATGAGGTGCTGCCACCCAGGGCAGCAGAGAGTAAACAAACTGTCCGTGATCGGAAGCAGGCGCTTGTGAGGACTGGCGGCGGGCAGCCATCCACAAGAGATGTGTGCCAGGCACGGCCAACAGCGAGTGCAGTCCCAGGAGAGGGTGACAGCGATGACGGATGGGAGAACGCCCCACCTTCTCATTAAACCAAACAATGAAGCCATCTGTAGTCCGAGCGCTTGTCAGAAATGTCACAACGCAAGCCATTAACAAGGGCAGCCTGGATTTATGTCCCTGCAAAGGATGCACCGACCATGGCGAGAAGCCAAACTCCCCTTCTCTCCGGGCTGGAGACCAGGACGCTGCTGTTAGCCTGGCGCTTTAGAAAACAGAAGCCGTGGGTTAAATATTAACCAGCTAGCAGGGCGCTGGAGGCTCACGCCGGTAATCCTGCTAACTACTCCTAACTACTCAGGAGGCTAAGATCTGAGGATCTCAGTTCAAAGCCAGCCAGGACAGAAAGTCCTTGTGGCTTTTATCCCCAATAAACTACTTAGAAAAAGCTGAAAGTGGTGCTGTGGCTCAAGTGGTAGAGTAGTAGGCTGTGAGTACAAAGAAGCTCAGGGAAAGCACCCAGATCCTGAGTTCAAGCCTCAGGATTAGCAAGGGAAGGGAAGGGAAGGGGAAAACTAGCAGACATTCCTGGTCCCAGCCTACCTGGGATGCTGGCCTTCCCCTTGTGATGATTTGCATGGCCATACTGCTTACTTCTAGGCTAGGCCTGGAACCCTGGCCAAGAATCATCCCTATCCCACCCCCTACCCCACCCTGCCAGGGTTGAGCACAAAGGAATGGGGTAAGGTCCCATCCACACCAATGCCAGGAGCTTTTGCTAATTCACATGCTGGATGTCTATGAAAACAGATTTTTCTAGATGGAACAGGGCCTGTTGGACATGACTGTTGGAAACAGGCTTGCATGTGTTAAAGATGTCAGCAAATACAGTGTGCTGAATGAACCTCCCTGCCTGGGGCAAGGTCTGGACCCCAGCAAGATTCCCAGCTGCCCACTCCAGGAATGCTTGGTCGCTGGGGTAGCTCTGCCAGGCCAGAGTCTTTCGTGCAAGGAGAGGTCTTCACCCAGGATGCAGGACAGGTGTCCAAGGGGAATCTGGGCCATAGACGATCTTTGGGGGGCCACTGAACGGGAACCACTGTTCCTGATGCCCGAGAGGAAGCCAGTGCTTTTCCTCCTCCAGGGTCGAAAGGCTGGCCGTGCCCAAGAGGTTGTTGTCTGGGGCTAAGTCACACTGCACCCACGAGGCCTTGGGCCTGTAGAAGCCCCATCTCTTGCCACATGGCACACAGTCCACCCTAGTCCAGCAGCTTCTCCACTTTCCCAAGGTCCCTGTGCATGCTGGGAATCTATCAGAGGCTCTGGCTCGGAAAAACGCACGCACACATCCTGTGAGAGACTTCAGAGTGGCTGAGGTCCCTCCGTCCCCTCCTCACCCCTGTGGCCAAAAACAGCCAAGTGAATTCACATCTAGATGCAGGCTCTGGATCAACCCACGTCCAACATTCCCCGCCCCCCCGCCCCGTTTCCACGTGGTGGCCCATGAGGCCGGGTGGAGGCCACTTCTGGGTGTCAGGCAGTTCAGGCAAGCAATGATCACCAAAGAGTGCTTCATTATCATTTCACCCTGAAACACTGAGCTCTGAACACCATAGAAATCACAAGAGCCAGCCTCTACCCCTCCACGCATGCCTCCTGACCGCCACCTTCCTCTGTTCCCTGCACCTGCTCCGGACTGTTAATTGGCACAGGCCCCTGTCTTCCATCAAGTCACCAGGGAGGGGCTGTGGGGCCTCTCCCAGGCCTGAGAGACAGGCCTAGAGAAACCTAGAGCTTCTGCAGCTGTGTGGGCTGGGACATCTCCTGCCGCGGGCCTGGGGTGGGGTGGGGTGGGGCAGATGGCTCCCATCCAGGGGTGAGCCTTCCTCCATTTGATAAATAGTTCCGAGCACCTGCCGTATGTCAAACACAGACAAATGCAGTTTCTATTTATTCTCATGGCTACTGGAGAGAACTTCTTCTATGTTGGAAACGCACGCGCAGAACTCCTCCACCCCCTGGAATCTGGCCATGGCAGGGTGAGACACCCCAAGGCCACACTGGGAGGAAGCAATGGAGCCTGGCTTCGAACCCAGTTTTTTCCTAATTCAGGACCAGAATCTTCTCCTGATGGATTCCTTTCTCTGTTGATTACACACCTGCTTTCCTGTAAGTTGCTGGGAACTCGGAATCCTCCAGTCCAGCCCAAGAGATAGGCCACCACAGGAAGGAAGGGAGAGCGGGTGGGTGCTGTTGGATTGCAACGTGCTCACAGCCCATTAAACCTGCACTGTGCCAGCCTCCTGGGAGTTAGGAGCTGGGCTGGGCCACGGGGCTGCAGTGGGAATGGACTGACTTCCACCCTGAAGAGAGGCAGCACCCTGGAGAGGCTGCCCTGCCGCTGTCTGCCACAGTATCAAAAGGAAGCCTGGAGCCAGGTGCCAGTGGCTCACATCTGTAATCCTGGCTACTCAGGAGGCTGAGATCCGAGGATCGAGGCTCAAAGCCATCCTGGGCAGTCGAATCTGAGGACAACTCTTAGCTCCAATTAACCAATAAAAAGCAGGAAGTGGCTCATGGTAAAGTGCTAGCCTTGAGTGAAAAAGCTCAACAAGAACCTGAGGCCAAGTTCAACCCCCAACCCCGTACTGGCACAAAAACAAACAAAACCAGTCACTTTCCAGCATGTTTCACCAAAGGCCTGATACATAGCCTGGCCGGGGGTTCAGGGTTCAAGCCTAAACAACTTGTTTGACTCAGGAAACAAAGGAACAGAAGCAATGAAGGTGACAAACATGAGCCCTGCTGAGGGCAGGGTGCACCATGGGCTACAAAGTCCTCCGAGGAGACACAGCCACCATCAGACAGACCCTGGAGCACCAGCTCCTCCACAGCTGGCAGAGGCTCTAATGCGTGTGCTTATAAAGACCACACATGCAGTCAGGATCCAGGAAGAATGCAAACATGAAGGCACAAAGAACGTTACTTTAAAACAAAAGGAGGGCTGGGAAGGTGGCTCAGTGGTAGAGTGCTTGCCTTGCATGCATGAGGCCCTGGGTTCGATTCCTCAGCACCACATAAGCAAAAAGAAAAAGGCCGGAAGTGGTGCTATGGCTCAAGTGGTAGAGTGCTAGCTTTGAGCTTTGAGCGACAGCGCCCAGGCCCAGAGTTCAGGCCCCACAACCAGACCCCCCCAAAAAAAAGGATAGGTCTGGGAATGTGGCCTAGTGGTAGAATGCTTGCCTAGCATGCATGAAGCCCCAAGTTCAATTCCTCAGTACCACAAACACAAAAAAGCCAAAGTGGCACTGTGGCTCAAGTGGTAGAGCAATTGCCTTGAGCAGAACAGCTCAGGGACAGCGCCCAGGTCCAGAGTTCAAGCCCCATGACTGACAAATAAAGATAGATAAATAAATAAATAAAACAAAAGGATAGGTACTCATAGGAAACAACCAAATACTGTTTCTACAAAAACAATAATTGAATCTACTAATTCAACAAACTGCTTCAGACTCGAGGCCAGGATGAGGTGAGGTATGAACACAGAGACTGTCAGAGGGCTGGGGCAGGGCCAAGTGAGGGCAGAGCAGGACAGGTTAGAGGGGCCAGAGGAGAGCCCAAGGGGAAGACGTGGGAAGTGAGGAGGAGGCAGGGAGAGCGGCAGAAGGCGTTCGGGAGGGAAGCTGCTGGGTGACAATGGACATCACAGTCCATGAGCGAGCAGTCAGCACCTGTGCAGGAAGTGTGTTAAGCCCGTAGCAACCCTCCATGTGAACAGTAGGAGGCTGTGTGGATGCACAGGTGGGTGGACGGTTAGCAAATAGGTAGGGAGGTGATGGGTTACACAAATGGGTTAGACAGGAAATGGTGAGCGGTGGGTGGGTGACGCAGTACACAGACAGAATGAATGAGCAGATGGGTGGGTAAACAAGTGGGTAAGATGATGGGCAGGTAAATGGATGGGCGGGTAGGTGGTTAAGTGGCTGAATAGCTAAGTAAAAGAGAGATTGTTTTAGTGGGGAAGTAGATGAATAAGAAAACAGATGAGTAGAAAGGATAGATTCTCCTATAGAGGACTGAGTAGGCAAGTGGATGAGGGGAATGTTGGACAGGCTGATGGCTGGGAGGGTAGGTGGGAGGTGGAGAGTGAGTGGACAGGTAGATGGATGGTGGGGGGGTAGATGGATAGATGGATGATTGACAGGTAGATGAATGGATTTATGGGTAGTCAGTAGATAGAAGGGTAAGTGGACAGAGAGACAGTAGATAATAAAGTGGGTGAGTGGTGAATGGGTGATAAGTAGATGGATGGATGATAAGTAGGTAGGTAGGTAGATGTGTGACAGGTACGGATGGATGCATGCATGGATGGATGGGTAGATGGATGGATGAATGGATGAATGGATGCATGGATGGATAGGTAGATGGATGGATGATAAGTAGGTAGGTAGGTAGATGTGTGACAGGTACGGATGGATGCATGCATGGATGGATGGATGGTAGGTAGGTAGATGTGTGACAGGTATAGATGGATGATGAATGGATGCGTGGATGGATAGGTAGGTAGATGGGTGGGTGGGTGGGTGGGTGGGTGGGTGGATGGATGGATGGATGGTAGGTAGGTAGATGTGTGATAGATATAGATAGATGGATGAATGGATGCATGGACGGCTACGTAGGTAGATGGATGAATGGGTAGATGCATGGATAGGTAGATGGATAGATGGATGGGTGGGTGGATGGGTAGATGGGTGGGTGGATGGGTAGATGGGTGGGTGGATGGGTGGGTGGATGGATGCATGGATGTAGGTAGGTAGATGTGTAACAGGGATGGATGCATGGATGGATGGCTAGGTAGATGGATAGATGCATGGGTAGATGCATGGATACATGGATGCATGGATGGGTAGGTAGATGGATAGATGGGTGGACAGGTGGGTGGATGGGTGGATGCATGGATAGGTAGATGGATGGATGGGTGGACGGATGGGTGGTAGACAGATGACAAGTAGACGAACGTGGTGGGTATGTGGGCAGTGAAGGGCTGAGTGGATGGGGTCACGATGCACAGCAGGCAGTGGTTTGGAGCCGGCACACGGTGGAGAGTTGGGCGAGGCAGGCAGCGGGTAGCTGGGTACAGACCCATCCTCCAGGCCTCACCTGGGCTCTGGCCTTCACGGCGTCGTAGTCGGCCTTCATCCTCTTCTGGGCCTCCCCGCCCACGCTGGGGTCCCCGATCCTGGTGAACAGCGAGGCTGCCTCCTCCAGCAGCCGGTCCAGCAGCACGGCCTGGTTGTCCACGTTGTGCAGCAGCACCTGGGCGTGGCTCAGCTGCCACTGCTTCTCCTTCAGGCCCAGCTGCAGCTCCGCCGGGGGCTCCAGGGCGACCGTCATCTTCTGGAACCAGTGGTAGAACTCGTCTCGGGCCAGCAGGTACTCGCTCCAGTGCAGCCACACCCACTCGATGCGGCTGTGGGCGCGGGGACAAAGCCATCAGGGAATCAGCCCCGCGGCTGACCACACTCCAGTGCCAGGGGCTGTGTGACAGGGGCAGGATGGTGCTCTCTCTCTGTACCAAGTGCCACTGGGTTCTAGACCCTTCCTGAGCTCTACAGGATGAGACCCTCTGCATCCTGTGTAAGCTCCCAGATGAGGCTGCTCCTCAGCTCACCCTATAATCCAGCAGCTCAGGCAGCCCCAAGCCACCAGGACTCAAATTCTAGCCCTGAATCCCCACAGCCGGTACACAGATTCCTCCAACCACTTCTGCCTAGTGTTAGAACTCTGTACTCAGTAGCCCCAGGCCCTTTGCACATGCTGCCTACAGAAGACTACCCCAGAACCAAGCCTACTAATACACAGAGCACAATGGTATTTGTGGGTTGGTTCGTGCCTGCCAGCTGGGGGCCGAAGATGGAGGGGGAGCATAAACTCGCAGGATAACTGCCTCGTCGCTTGCCTCAGTTTCCCCATGTACAACATGGACATGTCTTTCTCTCCGACCAACATCAAGCCATCCTGTTTAGAATTTCAGGCGAAAGGGTCTGCAGGACAATGAGCTCTGTGCAGCCTGTGCCCGTCCAGGCTCACTCCTGCTTTATGATGGAGAGGAAGCCATTGCTCCAGCTTCCTCAGCACCACCCTGCACCACGCACAGCACGGTCCCTGCTGCCATTCCTCTAACGACCTTCAAGGAGCACTGGATTACCCTCCTGGACCAGAGGAAGCCACGGAGGCTCAGAGAGATCAAGCAGCTTCCCCATGGCTGCACAGCAAGTAGCAGAGCAGGAATCGACGCTGGGTGTGTCTGAGTCTCTGTCTCTCCCACAGCCTGACTCTTGGGTCCTGGCAGAGAGAGACCCTGGCTAAAGTGCTCACAGGGGAAACCTTCGTATGCCAAAGCCTTGGTGCTGGACCTATTAGGACTTGCTGGCCAGACGCAATGGCTGGAACACTGGAACCGTATCTTATGAACATTGACGGTAATTAGAAAGAGTCGGGCTGGGCTCCAGTTCCTGGGGATCCTACGAGTGGAGAGCTGTCCCTTGGGCTGAGGTCCCTTGGGCGCAGTTACCCGGCAGGCACTGCGGACACAGGCCTGGACGGCCCCCGCTGCCCTACCTGTGGCAGTGAGTCATATAGGTGACCGTCTCCTCCCACTGGGCCTTGATGTCCCTCAGCTGGGCCAGGATCTCGGGCTTCTGGTCCTCAAGGCAGCATGCCAGGAGGGCTTCAGCCGCCTGCAGCACCAGGTCCACCTTCACGCGGCCCTCGGGCTCCAGCCGGCAGATTTTCTGTGTGGACACGAAGGCCAGTTTCCCGAGGTTAGGCAACACACAAGCAGACATGGCCTGGGGGAAGACTGGCCAGGCCTTCTGAGGGAGGAGGGGGGAACCTGGATTCCCTCGGATCACAGCCTGCAGCCCCGCTTCCAGGCCAGGGGGGCAGCCTGCGGAGGGGAAGACAAAGGCCTGGGGGTCAGCCCCACGCAGCCGGGCCTGCCCTGAGAACACAGCCAACCTCCCTGCCAGAGCAGACATCTTCCATTCACTCCTGGGACAAGGATTCTCATTCATGTCACCGTGGGATTAATACTATCTACCCCTCGGCGAATGGAGAAAGGAAGGGTGGGCAGACAGTCAGAATACTCAACGTGCACATGTGCACCAGGAGACTTGAGGGGATGGGCAGGTGGGAGGCACCAGGGAGGGAATAATACTCTCGTCCAGATGTACTGTACTCTAAGCAGACTTGCTGAATTGAAACCCCTTTACACAACTACTCAAAGATAATTAAATTAAGCCAGGCGCTGGTGGCTCACGCCTGTCATCCTAGCTACTCAGAAGGCTGAGCCCTGAGGATCATGGTTCAAAGCCAGCCCAAGCAGGAACATCTGTGAGACTCTTCTCTCCAATGAACCACTAGAAAACCCAAAGTGGCGCTGTGGCTCAAGTGGTAGAGCACTTGACTTGTGCTGAAGGGCTCAGAAACAGTGCCCAGGCCCAGAGTTCAAGCCCCACAAATGACCAAAAAAAAAAAAAGGTAATTAAATTAGATGAAAATTAAACAAAGAAAGTACATTAGTGGACTCAACTCTATGAGTAGATTTGTGCAAAGCTGTTCCCCCCGGGGACAGATCCTGGGAGGTTCTGGGGGCCTGTGGTGGATGGCTAGCTCAGGGGACCTCAGAGCCTCACCCAATTCCCTGAGCCTCCAGGAGGCACCTGGCCTAGGGCCCTGCCTCTCCTACGGCTCCCGCTCCCCGCTCCCTTCTCTCGTGAACATGTCCCCTAATACGCACCTGGCATCTCTCACCTCACCTGGGCTGCGCTCTGTGGAGGACCAAGCTGTCCACTTGACCTGGGGCAGGTGGGGCTCTCTAGCTGCCATTAGCTTATTTTATTTTTTAGTGCTGGTCCTGGGGCTTGAACTAGGGCCCAGGCCATGTCCCTGCTCAAAGCTAGCGCTCTACCACGTTGACCCACAGCACCACTGCTGGTTTTCTAGTGATTAATTGGAGATAAGAGTCTCACAAACTCCCCTGCCCCTGCTGGCCTCGAACCCAGGCCCTCCGATCTCAGGCTCCTGAGTAGCTAGAATTACCTTTTGCTCCCGCCTGCTTTCGCACTCCTGGCCAGCAGCTCAGTTGCTCAGTGTCTGCAGTCAAACACAACTAAACAACTCCAGCGCCACTCCCTCACCCTGCATGACCTTTGTGGCTTGAGAACTCCAGGTCAGTGGAAGAAGGAGGTCGTGGTTCGGTGACCGGGGGTCAGATGTCAGGAGGCGGCGGGGAGCACAGGCGGGCTGACACTGTGCCTCTGGCTGTCACTAGCAGCCCACGGTGACCTTTCACTTATGCGCTTTGTACCCACTGAGCACTCATGTGCCTGCACCTCCAGCTCAGCTGCCGGCGGTCACATTCCTCACGCTGATGCCGGGGCCTGGTTGTCTCTGTCTGACCTTTCTCTGCAGATAGGGTGGGAGGCTTCTGACGTGTCAGATGCTGCAACCCGACAGCTGTGACCCCAGGCAGATCAGTCAACCCTGCACCCCCCTTTCCTTCCCTGAGACAGCGGGACCACCCCCACTGCGTCAACCTCACCTCGTAATTTTTTTTCAAGTCATGTTGGAGTCGGCGCTGGTGGCTCACACCCATAATCCCAGCTATTTGGGAAGCTGAGATCTGAGGATCTGAGACTCTTAGCTCCAATTGGCCACCATAAAAGCCAGAAGTAGAGGTATGCTCAAGGCTAGAGCCCTAGCTTTGAGCAAAAATTGCTCAAGCACAGCACCAGTGCCCTGAGTTCAAGCCCCAGAACAGGCACATGCATGCACACATGCACACATGCGTGTGCACACACATCATATTGAAACTGGTTGCCAGTGGCTCACACCTATAATCCTAGCTACTTAAGAGGCTGAGATCTAAAGAGCATGGTTTGAAGCCAGCTGAAGCAGAAAAGCCCCTGAGACTCTTCTCTCTAATTAACCAGCAAAAACCTAGAAGTAGTGTGGCTCAAGTGGTAGAGTACCAGCCTTGAGTAAAAAAGCCAAGCAAGAGTGAGCAGTGGGCTGGGAAGGTGGCTCAGTGGTAGAGCGCTTGCCTTGCATGCTCGAGGCCCTGGGTTCGATTCCTTAGCACCACATAAGCAAAAAGAAAAAAGCTGGAAGTGGCACTGTGGCTCAAGTGGTAGAGCGCTAGCCTTGAGCTGAAGAGCTGAGGGACAGCGCCCAGGCCTAGAGTTCAGGCCCCATGACTGGACCCCCCCCCAAAAAAAAAGAGTGAGCAGCCCAGTAGTGTGCATGTGGGCACATGTGTGTGTATGCACGCACACCCACACACCAGCTCCTAGTGTTAGGCGTTGAGTCAGAATCATGGAGTTTCTTACTGGATATGTAAAGCCAGCGCTTCACATGCACACAGGAAAGCTGAGGTCCCGAGAGGGACGGACTCTGAGGTCACCCCACACTCCAGCACTCAAGGAAATGATAGTTCAGGTCTCCGGCTCTATGGTCACCCCTCTTACCCTCTGGCCTTGGGCAGGGACACTATGCTGGCAGGCCAGGCTGGGGTGGGGGGTGGGCGGGGCAGGGGAAGAAGGCACAGGATCCAGATCTGGGGATCCACCTCACTATGGGGCTCCAGGCCCTGCCCCCAACACACCCAATCAGGTTGTGCACTTCAACAAAATCTCCAGGCATCTGGGCATCGTTCAGAGTTTGAAAACCGCATCTCTCCCTTAGCAGATGGAAAGCGTGGGGCTGAAGGGGCAGCGCCAGGACCAGGGAGGCCGGGGCCAGGGAGGCCGGGGCCGGGGAGGCCGGGGCCAGGGAGGCCGGGGCCAGGGAGGCCAGGACCGGGGAGGCCGGGGCCGGGGAGGCCGGGGCCCCAGAGGGCCTCCGGACCTCCGCTTACCTCTGTCTCCCGCAGCCGGGCCTCCAGCGCCGCGCGGGGCCCCTGGGTGTTGTCATTGATCTGCAGCCGCTCCTGGATGGCCTTCATCCACTCCTGGGCGTCCTCCATGCTCCTGCTGAAGCCCTCCTGGGGCTGCTGCGTCATGGCACCTGCGGGGGTGAGGATGGGCCTCGCACGGTCAAGCAGAGAGGCTGCAGAGAGGCCCCAGGCAGCCCACAGCCCACCCGGCCACCAACTCCCTCTCGCAGCTCCCAGTGGCACCTCTTGCTGTGGCGGGGTCAGGGAGTAAGCCTGCTGTGGGCTGCAGAGACACACCCCCCCCAGCTAAGCCCTCAGGACCCCATAGTTCCTCCAAAGTTACAGGCGGGGGCTGGCCAGACTAGTGTGCTTCTCACCCACCCCACACACATGGCCCTCCTGGCAGCCCATTGGTCAGTCTTGGGTGATCTTGCTCTCCTGGCACAGGTCATCCCCCCCCCACCGCAGCCCTCCACCCCCACCCACTGGACTGCTAGGTCAGCCTTACCCCAGGCTGTGGAAGCAAAGGCTGACTTTTCTCGTGCAACTTGCTTTTAATCCCACCAATTCCAGGCTAAAACTCTTCTGTCCTCCAGTTCTAGCTGTCCGCTAATAGCAGCTATCACTTGCTCTGGATTAACGTTATTTATATCTGCAATTCATAGAAAGGATTGTATCTGGCTTATCTTCCAGTCTCCCAGGATGCCGTGCACAAAGTAAGCCCTGTGTCATTGAGTAAGGTAGCTCAGAATGGGCATAAGGTCTAGCACACTGAAAAACAAAGCCCCCCATGCCATGATTTAAACTGACAAAACAACATATACACCCCATACTGGGAATTGATTCTGTCATTGATGGCTTGTTGTTGAGAATACTATGCAGCCAACAAAAATGTAAGCCTCACATGAATTTGTGAAGACGATTATGGAGGATAGAATCCCAAAAAGTGAGACCCATCTATACATCCAGCAATCACAACTCTACTCCTAATAAAAGTAAAATAAAACATCAACAAAAGACACAGCTCACAGCAAAGGTTGGGGAGTCTCGCCATTAGAGGTCCATGTGAATATTCTTCTTCTCTTAGGAAGTTATGAATTCTCCAGAAGGGACAGCCATTGCTATCCAGTTAAAAAATAAGACAGGCACCAGTGGCTCATGCCTGTAATCCTAGCTATTCAGGAGGCTGAGATCTGAGGATCATGGTTCAAAGCCAGCCCAGGCAGGAAAATCCATGAGACTTGTATGTCCAATAAACCACTAGGAAACCAGAAGTGGTGCTGTGGCTCAAATGGTAGAGCACTCGCCTTGAGCCGAAGAGCACAGGGATAGTGCCCAGGCCCAGAGTTCAAGCCCCACAACCAACAAAATAATAATAAAGTATTTTTTGAACATGGGTTAAGTTGCTAGTTGTCTTTTTTCAGCCTTTTCTTGGTTGCTCAATTAAGCTCTGGCGGGTGGGGGGAAGGAAATACTATGGCTTGAATTTAGGGCCTGAGCACTGTCCCGGAGCTTTTACACTCAAGGCTAATGCTCTGTCACTTTGCATAGCTCCATTTCCTGCTTTTGGTGGAGAGGGGGTAGTTAGTTGGAAATATGAGACTCAAAGACTTCCCTGCCCAGGCTGTCTTTGAACCACAATCCTTAGATTTCAGTCTCCTGAGTGGCTAGGATCATAGGTGTGAGCCACCAGCAGCTGGCTGTCATTTTATTTAATTTTTTATTAGTACCTATTATTTATACAAGGGGTTTTCGTTGTGGTATTTTCACATACACATACAATGCACTCTGATCAAAGTCAACCTTCCCTCCCCCCCCCCGCGACCCCTCTTTATTAAAGCAATTCTGGCAGGTTCCATTCTTCTATTTCCATAATGCATGAAACATAGCATTCTTTGCCTTTGTTTGCCTCTTCCACCCTCTCTGTTCACCTTCTCTCCCTCCTGCTGGTACCAGCTCCCCTACAAATCCTGCTTTATATTCTTGTCATCTATTTTACCATTGTACAAAGGGTATATCTCTCTCTCTCTCTCACACACACACACACACACACACATTTACTTTAATCAAGTGGTGCCCCTTCTATTGCTCTCTTCTTCCCATCAAATAGTCCCACAATCGGAGTTAGGTTTTATGTAGATAACTATATAGAGATACATGTCTATATGTATAGCTTTTAGGTCTGGAGTCCACCCGCAGACTCCTCTGGATATGCGCCCCTTGTGGCATGGCGGGGTCATAGCAAGATCTATTGAGTGAGTTGAAGAGCTCTGCATCCATTTCCATAGTGGTTGCACTCATTTACATCTCCGTCAACAGCTTAGGAGCATCTCTCCCCACCTCTATCCTCACCTGTATTTGCTCTTTGTTTTCTTGTCTTCTTCAAAGACAAGGAGAACTGGAGAGAGGCCAAAGAGTCCACCGGAGAGTGGACAGCACTGGACATACGCTAAGGTCCACACCCATTTTCCAGGGCCCAGCCTGTTTGTTTTCAGAGCTGTTTTGATTCTGAATGCCTCTTTTGAAAAGCAGGTTGGAAAGTTCAGGCGAGCATTTACATTGATCCTTTGTGTCTCTCAACTGTTGTCTTGTCTGGCTTCCAAAGGTTCTGGTGTATTGTTACAGAGAAGGAATGAAGAGACCAAAGGCATCCCCGGCATGTCAAGTGACAGGGCAGCAGGGAGAGGGGAGAAGTCATGGAGGCAGCGGGGAGCTTGCTGGGACCCTCTCTCTGGCCATGCCCACTCTGGACCTAAGGCCCGATGGGCTGAGAACCTGGCGTTACACTATGAAGCACAGGGGTGGCCGGGCCAGCTCACACTGAGCTCACGTTGGAGCTCACACTGGACTCATATCAAGCTCATGCTGGACTCACACTGAGCTCACACTGTACTCACAACAAGGTCACACTGGATTCACACTAAACACGCTGGACTCACACTGGGGCTGCAGGCAAAGCTCAGATCTGGTGTCTTTGCCAGAGCTGTCAAACCACTTTGCTTCAATTCAGTGCAGCACCCAGGAATTTAGCACAGTCCACCTAGGCCACAGTCAGCAGCCCCGCCCCTAAGTGGCCTTGAACAGGCTAGATGGTAGATGAGCCCCAAGCTAGGGGATGGAGGGCACATTTAACCTGTGCTGTGAACCCCTTCTCAGAAGAAAGGCTTCAAGCCAGGTGCTGGGCTCACCCCTGTAATCCTAGCCACTCAGGAGGATGAGAGCTGATGACTACCAGCCCAGGCAGAAAGGTCTGCAAGACTCCTGTTTCCAATTAACTGTCAAAAAACTGGAAGTAGGGGCTGGGAAGGTGGCTCAGTGGTAGAGTGCTTGCCTTGCATGCACGATGCCCTGATTTCGATTCCTCAGCAACACATACACAGAAAAAGCCAGCTGTGGCTCAAGTGGTAGAGCACTAGCCTTGAGCTGAAGAGCCGAGGGACAGCATCCAGGCCCCAAGTTCAGACCTCACGACTGGAAAACACACACACACAACTGGAAGTAGCCAGGCACCAGTGGCTCATACCTGTAATCCTAGTTACTCAGAAGACTGAGATCTGAGGATTGCAGTGCAAAGCCAATCTGGGAAGAAAAGTTCTTGAGACTCTTTACTTAACAAGCTGAGGTGAAGCTGTGGCTTAAGCAGGTGAGTGCCAACCTTGAGTAAAAAGGCTAAAGAACAGAGCTCAGACCCTGAGTTCAAGCCCCAGAAGGTAGGGAAGGGAAGGATGGAGGGGAAGGAGGGAAGGGAAGGGAAGGATGGAGGGGAAGGAGGGAAGGGAAGGGAAGATGGAGGGGAAGGAGGGAAGGGAAGGGAGTGCAAGAGAAGGTGAAGGAAAGGAAAGGAAAGGGGGAGGGAAGGAAGGAGGGAAGAAGGAAGGAAGGAAGGAAGGAAGGAAGGAAGGAAGGAAGGAGAGGGACGCAGGGAACAGAGGGAGGGAGGAAGGGGATGAGTGAAGGAAGGAGGAAGGACATGCACCAAAGGCCATCAACGCCTGGCCAGAGATCAGGAAAGCATTCTCCCCAGGGTCCTGTGAAAGCTATCCACCCTTGTAGAAGCCAGGGTTGGAGATGGAGGGCTCGGGGGTGAAGGCCCAGGGCCCAGGTGTTTGCCAGGTGAGTGTGGCAGAGCCAGGAGCCCCTGGCAGGAGCGCAGCCAGCCTGACTTCAGATGAGCAAAGCATCCCTCGGGGAATCTGGACAAGCTCCCGGCCCTCTTCCCATAGCCAGTGGCCAGGGCAGCTGCTGATACACAGCCCCTCCAGCCTGGGCTCCCACAGTCCCCCCCTCCCCCACAGCACCACCAGCCTGGGCTCCCACAGTCCCCCCTCACCCCCTCCATCACCCCAGGGTTCCCTCCCCCACAGCCCCTCCAGCCTGGGCTCCCACAGTCCCCCCTCACCCCCTCCATCACCCCGGGGTTCCCTCCCCCACAGCCCCTCCAGCCTGGGCTCCCACAGTCCCCCCCGACCCCCTCCATCACCCGGGGTTCCCTCCCCCACAGCACCACCAGCCCATCTGGAGCCCCAGCACCCAGGCTGTCCCCACACTTCTCTGTGCGGGTTCATTACCGCACATCATCCTGCCCTTCCTCAATATACAAGGGTGGACGGATGGCCCCCAGAACTGAGTAGACTGTCCTTACAGTCCAACAAGGACTTCCTAAAAGCCCACATAGGGCGGAGCTGGAGTCTGTTTTTACACCAAGCAAATGCCCCACCCTCTCCGCCTCGGTTTCCCCATCTGCATGCCAGGGCTGTGGTCTGCCAGTCCCCCAAGGAAACCTATGTGAGATTTCATCCCCAGCGTGAGGATGCTGCCAGGGGCTGGCTCTTTAAGAACTAATTAGGTCAGCAGAAGGCATTAGCACTGCCTTTGTAAGACTCTAATTCTCAGGGGGAGTTAGCCCTGCTCCCCTGTGGCTGGGCTAGCTGGAGATGTGGTTGTTAAAGCTGGATGTACCCCATCTGGGTCTGCCCAGAGCCCAGTGAACCTCTATTCCTTATACATCAGCCTCTCTCAGGCCTGTTCTGTTAGAGTAACAGTGCAGTAACAGGGAATGGACTGAGCGAGTCTGCCAGGGGCCTGGACATTGTGGTTGAGTAGGCGCCATGTTCTCAGGGCCCCCATGGGG